CTGTTTATAGCTGAACTTCTGTCTTCTGACTAAAGTATATTTCCTGAATGTTGTCTGCCCATAGAACACCTTCTGAATTTCTTTTATCTAAAATGGACACTTTGAACTGCTTCTCTCTACAGGAGAACTTCTAAAGGTATTCTCTCTGAAGATCCTTTGTCTATAGGAGAACTTCTGTCTGCGATGTTCTTTGGTCTATAGGAGACATTCTGAAGGTCTTCCGTCAATATGAGACTGTAAATAAGACTCTTTCTTGAGGTCTTTTATCAATAGGAGAATGTCTTTTTCTTTTGGAGACATTTTAAAGGTCGTCTGTATACAGGAGACCTTCTGAAGTCATTTTCTCATTCTGAAAGTTTTTTACCTATTGAAAACCTTTATGAGATTTTCTGTCTTCAGGAGACCCTCTTGAAGGTTTTTCATATGTCCCGTTTAAAGGTCTTCTCTTTATGTGACTTTCAGAAAGTTTTCTCTTTATAGGAGATCTTTTTAAGCACTTCAGTTCATAGCAGACCTTCCATAGGAGAAATTTTAAGTCTTCTGTTTATAGCAGATTTTAGAATATCTAATGTCTTCAGGGAACCTTTTGATTGATTTCCGTATATTCCTTCCAGGATGTTTTCTGCCAATGAAAATACTTTAAAGGCTTCTTTTAAAGATTCCCTTTTTTAAGTCAGTTTAAAGATCTTTAGTCTAAAGATCTCCCATAAGTTTTCTTTCCACTAAATTTTTTTCAGAATTTTTCGGTCTATAAAATACCTTAAGATCGTTCTCTATACAATATAGGTTACAGATCTTTATACTACAGAATACCTTCTGAATTTCTAGGTTCCATCCCTTATCTGCTTATGTTTTCACCGCAGAGATAATTGTCCATGAGTATTGGCCTATAGAAAAGGTCTACATCCTATTTAAATGAAGGTCTGCCGTCCATAAAATACCATTTGAACCTTTAAAGGTCTTTTGTTCATTGACAAAGGCCCTTCATATATTTTGCGTTGCATCAAAGTATTTTTTGATTTTGTTTTCAATTTTTTTACGCAAATTATTTTTATATTATTTTAATAATTTTTCTCTTCTCTTAATCCACGTTAATTCATTTTAATAACGAATTACGTATTTACCCTTTTGACTCATTGCTTTCTGCCGCAGCTGATAAAATTTGTTTGCCATTCCAAGGAATTAACACCAATTGCTCGAATCAATTAATGGCGGAAAAATATCAATAAAGGTGAACATAAATCATAAAACATCAATGAAATTCGTACGAAAAAGGCCAAATGGTAAAACAATAACAAAAACATAAAAAAGTAATGCAAAAGATAAACAACAAAACATAGCCGTGAAACAAAAGTCGAAATAAATAAAAATAGCGACCAAAAACACACTTTTCATTCTTGTTATTCCCATTCATCAAAAAGGAATGCAACAAACAGATAGACAAACAGTCAGTTGATAGGAAAGCGACGTTTTCATTTTCAATATTGTTCGTTCGTTGGTTTACTTTTTTTTTTTTTTTTTGAAAGAGACATCACCGACAGACGACAGTTAGAATACGAAATAGAGAAACAACGGGTAACAACTGTAAACTATTAGTGACATTTTGTACCCCAAGGTTTTCTTTTTGGATGAAAATAAAAAAGAAAACACTGAGATAATGGAAGAGAGGGTCAGGAGAATAACGGAAGTTTAAGTCGAGTTTACCCTTTGAGATTGTTTCTTTATAGAACGTGAATTGTTGAATGGATGACTGCAAGTATCCGGAATTAAATTTTGAATACTCAGAATAAAGCGATGTAATGACGTTGTTTTGCCACTTTTGGAAATCTAATAGATCGCGCATTTCTAGAAGACACTTGGAAGGTATGTCCGAGAGAAACCATTTTGAAAGGGTCTCTTATCCCATGTGTCTTTACAGGTCTCTAGAAGATCCGTTAGATTATTTTCTTCGGTGATTAGAAGACTTCTTGGAGTTCTTCTATATAAATAAGACATATGGTTCATCTTCTGTATGCTGTCGAAGGCCTGTCATATATTGCAGACATGTTGGGTGCCTTCTATATATAAGAAACGTCTTGCCATAGAGGTAGACATGTCCTATAGATGATGATTTCTTTCATTAATTTTCTCAATTGATACCTATTTTCCCTTTGAAATTCAATGGCAATAACTTTCTCAACAAGACCTTTAGAAATTTAGGTCGAAGTCCCAGGAAAAATTTTGAATATATTGACACTCTTTTAAATGTCTTTTGGAAAAAGAAGAATTTCCAAGAAGACCATGTAAAGGTTTTCCATGGACATAAAAACTATCGAAAGGACTTGCATAGACCGAAGACCTAATAAAGATCTGTAATGGACAGAAGACCTTAAAAAACAGTAGATTTTTTAAAGCTCTTCTATCGACAGAAGACCTTTTAAAGCTTTTCAATAGACAGATGTCCTCTTAAATCTCGTTTATAGGTAGAAGAGCTTTGTCTTTCTCTAAGACAGACATTCTGAGAGTCTTCTGTCGATAGGAGAACTTCTGAAGGTCTTCGGTCTATAGGAAACCTTCTGAATTTCTTCTGTCTATGGGAGACCTTCTGAACGTCATCGGTCTATAGAACTTCTGAAGGTCTGCTGTATATAGGATGCCATCTGAAGATCTTCGCCTGCAGGAGACTATCTGACGGTCTTCTGTCTATAGTTGTCCTTCTAAAGGTCTTCTGTCTTAAGGATACCTTCTAATGGTCTTCTGCTTATTTGGGACATTATAATGGTCTTCTGTCTTTGGGAGATCTTCTGAATGTTATCGGTCTATAGAACAACTTCTGAAGACTTAAAAGACTTCTTCTTTTTTGTATGTCCCTTTAAAAGGCATTCTGTCTATGGGAGACCTTCAGAGGGTCTTCTCGCTATAGTATATAGCTTTTTAAAGCCCTTCTATCGACAAAAGACTTTTTAAAGCTTTTCTAAAGGCAGAAGACATTTTAAATCTCGTCTACAGGTAGAAAGATTTTAAAGTTCTAAGGCAGAAGAACTGTTAAAGCTCTTCTATGGATAGAAGAACTTTTAAAGCTCTTCTATAGATTGAAGAACTGTTAAAGTTCTATGGATGGAAGACCTTCTAAAGCTCTTCTATGGATAGAAGACCTTTTAAGACTCCTCTGTGGATAGAAGACCTTTTAAAGCTCCTACACTGACAGAATGCCTCTTAAATCTCGTCTATGGATAGAAGACCCTTTGAAGCTCTCATGGAGGCAGAAGACCTTTAAAGCTCTTCTATAAACATAAGACCTTTTATAGTTCTTCTATGGACAGAAGATCTTTTAAAGCTCTTTTGTGGACAGAATACCTTTTAAAGCTCTTCAGAAGACCTTTTAAAGCTCTTCTATGGACAGAGGTTCTTGTAAGACATATACAAATCCTATTAAAGACAGACTGTATAGCAGCTTTAAAATATATTTTGACTATAAAAAGCTTTTCAAGTTAACTGTCCATAGAAAGGCTATACGAAGTCCTTTATCTAGAGACGTGTTGTACATGGCCCTCTTTCGGAATTGTTCTGTTCATGAATGGATTTTTAAACCTCATAAGGATTTCGATCTATCTCTATGGACCGAAGAACCTTGAAAATCTTATATAACGTCTTCTCTATAGAGGGTATTTTTCAGACATACCCTTTTATGTCTGAAAAATACCCCCTATAGAGAAGACGTTATATAAGATTTTCAATGTTCTTCGTCTTCTATACAAATTGTGTTCCTCTCTATTACCCTTGACAAATTATATATCCTTAAAGGCGTGTTGGATATATAAATTGGTATAGACGACATATAAGAGGTCTTCTAGGTATGGACGACCTGTTGGAGGTCTTCCAGGTGTAGAAGACCTGTTGGAGGTTTTCTAGGTGTAGAAGACATATTGAAGGCTTTCTGTGTATAGAAAAGCCTTATGCGTCTTCTATAAAAAATGTATTATTCTCTATTACCCTTGAGGACATTACCATTGCATATCAACGGGGCAGTAGTTCATTATCTTTTAAGTATAGCCCTTCCAAAACCATCGAAAACAAAATCACTTTTCACGTCTTCCTCATAAATATTCGTGATTTATTAATGACAGCAATGCCAAGGGAAGCATATTTTTTTGTTTCGTGGAACGAGTGCTTATATATTAATCCCTCTTCGTTTCTTGCTCCATATCTTCTTCATAAAAAACCAAAACAAAACAGGAGAAAAAAACATATCGACACATCAGAAAGGCATTGACTCTCCGTATTTTTCGGTATCAGTTGCCTTATGCATTTGGCAACATAATTAAAGGGTTCGAGCCAAGTTTAATACAGTTATCCACTTTCAGTTCACAAACAACCGCTCATTTGCATCGCTTTATTCTGGTCCCCCCCACCATGACATAATCTTGCCACAAGGATTCTTTTTGTGCTCGGCAATACATCAGCTGTCGCTGGTAACATCATTTTTTTTGCCCGGGCGAAATATTAGAGGGTTTCTTCGGCATCGTTTTTTTTTTTCTCCTCCACAAACAACGAGTTAAAAGCAACAACACCAACAACAAAAATCAAGAGTTACAATCAAAAGGTAAAGAGCTTAGAACAGCGAGAGAGAGAGAGTGATGGAATTTCTTCCCCCAAAACCAAAAAGCAAAGTGAGAAAAAAAAAGAAACTGAAATGCAATTAAAAATTTAAAAGACTTTAATTCAGTTGGTGGTTTTAACTTAGGAACAGAATTCAACTCCAGGTGTTGAGGTGAAAAGAAAAAGAGCAGGAAAACAAGGATACAAATAAAAAAAAATATGAAACACAGGAAAAAAGACAACACAGTAGAATACAAAAGGTCGACGAGACACGCAGCATGAAATCAACGACAGAACGAACGAATGAACGAACGAACCAACCAGCCACCATTCAAACTCGAACAAGCATTATTTTGTTTTGTTTTTTTTTTTCGTTTGTTATTGTTGTTGTCAGGTGATGATTTTAAGTTTTTTAGACTTACTACATAGACAGACGATGAGGGAACCGACAGACTTGATCCTGAGCCACCTCTTGCACCGAAACCATATGCCTAGTATAAGTGAGTTAAGAATGTATATATGTGAGTAAATGAGAATGCAGTTGTTGTTAAATATGTTAAATAATTTTTGTACAAAAGCAGGGTATTGTTTTTTATACAAGCTAGAGCGATTTAAGTGGTCCATTTGTTAGAGGAAGGTGTGACTAAAAAAAATTAAGAGGAATCATGTTCGGTCAGGTCTTAATTGTATTATATGTTTGTTTCATACATTGAAGACTTCCAACACGTCTTTCATACATGGTCTGATCTTCCATGTATACATGTCCTGGAGGAGGTTTTTTTAATGTATGGAAGACCTTTTGGAGGGTTTCTTTGTAAAGAAGATCTATTGGAGGATTTCTTTAAAAAGAAGACCTGTTTGGAGGTATTTTAGGTTGAAATCCTTCTAGCCATGTTGAAAGTCTTCTAGTCCTGTTGGAAGTCTTCTAGGCATAGAAGACCTGTTTAAGGTCTTCTAGGTATAGAAGACCTGTTGGAGGTCTTCTAGCTATACAAGATCTGTTTGTGGTCCATTAGGCTTAGCAGACCTGTTGTAGGTCTTCTAGGCTTGGAAGACCTTTTGGAAGTCTTCTATCTTTAGCAGACCCTTTTGGAGGTCGTCTATGTTTAAAATTCCCCTTGGAAGCCTTCTATCGGAGCTCTTCTAGTTGAAGAAGACCGTTGGAGGTCTCCTAAGTGTAGAACACCTGGTGAAAGTCTTCTAGGTATAGAAGACATGTTAGAGGCTATTTAGATATAAAAGCCATATTGGAGGACTTCTAGGTATAGAAGACATGTTAGAGGTCTTTTAGGTATAAAATACATGTTGGAGATCTTCTATGTATAGAAGTTGGGAGTCTTCTAGTAATGGAACACCTGGTGGGGTTTTCTAGGCATAGAACACCTGTTGGAGAACTCCTAGGTATAGAGTACCTGGCGGAAGTCTTCTAGATATAGAAGACATGTTGGATATATAAATTGGTATAGACGACATAATAGAGGTCATCTAGATATAGGAGACCTGTTGGAATTCTTCTTGGCGTAGAAGACCTCTTGGAGGCCTTCTTTGTGTAGAAGAACTATTGGATGTCTTCTGGTGTAGAAGAACTCTTGGAGGTCTTCCTTGTACAGACGATCTATTGGAGGCCATTTATGCTTGGAATATCTGTTGGAGGAATTATATATATAGAAGACCTTTTGGAGGTCCTCTAGTCTTAGAAGACCTTTTCGAAGTCTTTTATGCTTAGAAGACCTGTTGGAGGTTTTCTAGGTATAGAAGACATGTTGAAGGTTTTCTATGGAGGTATTCTAGGCTTAGAAAACCTGTTGGAAGTCATATATCCTTCGAAGGTCTGTTGGAGATCGTCTGTCTTTAGAAGACCTCTTGGAGGTCGTCTATGTTTAGAATTCCTCTTGTGGGTCTTCTAGTTGTAGAAGACATGTTGAAGGAATTCTATGTATAGAAGGTCTGGAGGTCCTATAGGATTAGAAGGTCTGTTGGAAGTTTTTATGCTTCGAAGACCTGTTACAGTTCGTCTATCTTAAGAAGACCTCTTGGAGGTCGTTTATGTTTAGAATACCTCTTGGAGGTGTTCTAGGTATAGAAGACCTGTTGGAGGTCTTCTAGGCTTAGAAAACCTGTTGAATTTTTCTATCCTAAGAAGGACCTCTTGGAGGTCGTCTATCCTTAGAATACCTCTTGGAAGTCGTCTATGTTTAGAAGACCTCTTGGAGGTCGTCTATGTTTAGAAGACCTCTTGGAGGTCGTCAAGTTTAGGATACCTCTTGGAGGTCGTCTATCTTTAGAAGACCTCTTGGAGGTCGTCTATCTTTAGAAGACCTCTTGGAGGTCGTCTATCTTTAGAATACCTCTTGGAAGTCGTCTATGTTTAGAAGACCTCATGGAGGTCGTCTATGTTTAGAAGACCCTTTAGAGGTCTTCTAGATATAGAAGACCTGTTGGGGGTCTTCTAGATATAGAAAATATGGTGGAGGTCTTCGAAGTGTTGAAGACCTGTTGGGGGTCTTCTAGGTATAGGAGATCTGTTGAAGGTCTTATAAGTATTGATGTCCTGTATGAGGTCTTCTAGGAATGGAAGAGCTGTAGAAGTTCTTCTATGTATGGAAGACCTGCTGGGTCCCTTCTAGGTATTAACGAAGGACTTACATGTCCTGTAGAAGTTACATACGTTTGATTCTTCTAAATCGCTTTCTCAATTGATTCCTATTTCCCTTTTGACATTCAATGGCAATGAATTTTCCAACAATTTTTGCCATTTAATTTCAAATAATATCCATTATGTCCTAAACTAATCCTTTAGTATCAAGGCTGTTGAAATAATAAATAAAACTCTAACAGGACGAACTTAGAATGTTACAAAACCCCTTAAACGTGAAAGGACATTGTAACTCTTTCGCTTTGTGGCAAATGGCTCTTTTTTTGCAGTGGCAAGGATAAAGTGAGTCCTTTATTTTCAACAGCCAAAACAAAAACAAATTTCAAATGGACCTTTTTATTAAATCTCATAGCTTGTATATTATATACCCTCATGAATTAGTTTATTTGAGTGTGTTTGTGTGCGAATTTGGTATTTTGTTTTTTTTTATTACCCCGTGAGATTGTGGACAAGTGTTTGGGTATTAGTGTGTGTATTTATTTATATATTTATTTGAAAAAGGATGTAGTTTTTAATTTAGTGTATGTGTGGTTGTTTTTTTGTGTATGTGTGTGTTTGTGTTTCATTTTATATGGGATTTTTGATTATATTTATTATGGCGTTTTTTTTAAAGCGGAAGGAAAGAAAGGAAATGAGATAATTTAAAAATGGATATTAGGGTTGTGTTTTGTTTTTCTTTTTTTAGAAATACAAAAACAGAAAAACCAACCAAAATAAAGGTAACTTAATTGAATCAACAACAAAAAAAGAGAGAGGAAAAAATAAAGAACATTTTATGGTCTTTTTATTGTTATCGTCTACAAAAGATATGTTCAAAATTTTTTTTTTGTTTTTTTTTTTTTTCATTTCTTTTTAATATTATATTAAGCCGTGATTGTACGGTGTAAAGAATGGTAAGTTAGAAAATTTTTTAATGAATTAATATTGGCTGCTTAAACATAGTATTTAAAGCTATTGCAATTCCTTTAATATATTGCATATATTAATGTTTGCATAAAGCATATGCTATACCTATACATATAGATAAATTTAATTTTTGTAAAAAAAAAAAAAAAAAAAAAAAAAACAAAAACATACCTCTGAAACGACATCTGTTGATCCGCATTTTTTCGAAGATAAATCATTATTTCGTCTATATTTATATTAGTCTATGTTTCGGTTTTGTTTCGTAAGAGTATTCCCTTAGTAATTAGATGTCAAGCTATAAAAAGATAGCTATAGTTCCCGATTACGTCGAAATTTGACTCTATCTGATGACTCTGACTATAAAAATCATCGATTCATCGATTACTAAGTATGATTTTTTCCATATGCTACAGATCCATATGCTGCAGGAAACTGTAGGCAAAAAAAGCTTTAACCAGGCCGGGATTAAAAATGGCTTCAAAAGCTTTTGAAAAAAAACGCAGATAATATTTATCTTTTGAAATCGGACGAGCTAATGGGTTTCAGGGAGTCTATACCTGGACAAGCTGAATGTGCTAAGGAGTTTCTGAATATATCCGATCTGAAGGGATCTGACCGCCTATAATTAAACAATCTCAAACTTTCATGGAATGTTTTAATAAATGGGTCAGGGAGTCTATATGTAGCTGGCCCGAAGGATTGCAAGTCTTCAATGTACATAAGTCCTAATTTGGGCCTTGCTTGAACAAAACACATGTTAAGGGGCCTCTTTCGCATGAAACCCCTTTAAACATCGTTTATGTGTTTAAGATCTGATTTAGGCCATCCTGGCTAGTAGACAAGTACTACCGTTTTGTTTTTGCTTTTCTTATATTAATTAAGAACGTATTGGAGCTTTTTATGTTTAGAGGACCCATTTGAGGTCTTTTATATGTAGAAGACCGGCTGAAGGCGTCCTTTTGTGTAAAGGACCTTTGGAGGTTGTCAATTAATACAAAATCTTATGAAGATCTTTTATATATTTATCAATCTCTTGATTGTTTTTTGTATTGCTGTTATGTTGGTGGTTCCTATACCAATTCTATGTGTAAAGGATATCTTTCTTCCCCACATAAAATATAAGCTGGAGGTCATCTACGTCCTGGTGACGTCCTGTTGAAGGTCTCCTTAATATTACAGAGCTGCTGTGGAGATGTTTTGGTCAGTACGCCATGTATTAAAGAACTGTAGGAGGTCTTCTAGGTATAAAAGGCTTGTTAGTGGCCTTCTCCATCTTAAAGACCTTTTTGGGGTATTCTATTATTTACAGACCTGTTTGGGGTCTTCTATGTATTAAGGAACTTTTTGAGGTCTTCCATGTATTTCCATCTGCTCTGCATTGAAGAGCTGTTGGACGTCTTCTTTGTATAATGAACCTATTGGAGGTTTTCTATGTATAACCCCTAGATATTCAAGATATTAAGGACAAGTGGACTCGGCAGGATCCTATACAAATAAAAAAAACTACTATTGCAGACTACCTTTTAGATGCCTTTTACTGAATAAAACGCTTTAGTAGAGAGAATACACTTTATGCAGATCTTGTAATTTAACACCGTACGACTTCTTCCAGTAAGGCTAAGTGGAAAATAAGCATGAATGTCTTTTGAATAGTTTAAGCAAAATGTTCATCGGTGGTCTACGACAAGATCCCAGCAACGATTCAACACCTCTATACTAGAATTCGGAAGGCCATCGACGGAATCTACTTTCCGATTTGGTTATGCAAAATTTATTGAAATTGATATGGTCGTTTATATCAACTAATTTCAGCTCTCACTGGAAAACCACTTGTATCTTTTTATACCCTCCTATATCACTTTAGCTTCCGAACGAGATGAAGTAGGTTGTTAAAATTTTACTCAGATTAGAATTTCAGATAATTCCAGTGAAAAATGAGACTAAAGTCATCAAAATACCGAATATCGGGGGTACCGTCATAGGGGCGATATACGATAACCTGGACCTACATATATATGCAATTCTCTCCCAGGGATTAAGGTACTCAAAAGGAACTCCTTCAGTAGAATTTCAGACAATTCCACTGAAAAATGTGACTAATTTCATCAAAATACCGAATATCGGTATACCCTAGTATGGTGGAGGGTATAAAAAATACCACTGAATTTTTGCATATTGCTCCTATTGAAAATGGGTCGGTTCCGTCAACGATTCGTAACAGTCCCAGTATAATGTTTCCGAATTTAAATATTTTGGCATTCTCATCCCAATTTTCTTAAAGGACTAGAGTTACTTCTGTAGTTCCTGCCAACAATTCCACTTTCAAGACTAATTTTCTTTCGTTATGGATCACACCCCTTCTTGAGAACTAGAGTTGTGTCAATTTAGGTCAAAGTTCAGCACCCAGTTCCTAAACGTATAAGTGATTTCATAAATTTCATATCACTCATACGCAATCGGAGTCGTCGGAACTAGAGAAGGAACTAATTCGTTCATTCGAACTAGATTGGCACAACTCTATTGAGAGCTTCCTTGGGTCAGCTTATACCGCAGGTAAAATTTCTACTTGCATTATCGTGCTCTATTTATTTCCTATGCTCATGCATGGTCTCGGTTTATACGGAGAAAGCCAACCAATAAAAAAAAATAACTACAAAGCATGTTCATGAAATATATAAATATTTATATCGCGGTACAGAGCGATTTGAGGAAATTGAAAACGGTACCTCGCAATGTTCGGTATTCTGATGATTTTAGTGATATTTTTTCCCGGAATTATTTCAAATTTCGTATTTAAAGTTCGTAATAGGTACTACAGCGATGCAGTTCTATGTCTTCGTATAGTCCTCATATAACGATACCTGCCGATATTTCGTATTTTGATGATTAAACGATATTATTAACCGGAATTGTTTCAAATTTCATAGTTGAATTTCGTACCCATACTTTAGTTTTTTTTACCAACCTTGCCACATTTTCCATTTTTTTTTAATTCACTCTCATACTTTAAAATTTTTAGTGGAAAACTCTTGAAAAATTCTCTCTACTTCTCTTGAAAAATCTTGAAAAAATCAGTACCGAACCATATTGATCCTTAAAATTAGTCCCCCCTTATTTTTGTGAACAAAATGTTTTCTTGCCAGTCAGTTCCCCTCTCAATAACGAACACTACATTACCCCAACTAATGTCCATTGTCCGGCGGGGATTTCCTACAAATTAATTTTCATTTAATTCTTTCTATGCCGCAAAAAACATGTTTTCATTAAATTTACATTGGTAATAAAGTCAAAACCATTACCATAGCCTGAAATCGATCAACTGGAGTTGGATGGAAATAAATAAAACGGTTTTTTTCTGCGGCCAACGATTTGTGTAATGAAAAAGGACACCGTCATCATCGGCATTGTTGTGTAAATGATATGGTTATATGAGTGTGTGTGTGTGTCTGTGTGTTTTCCCATTCAAACCAATCCCGCCTCTATTGTTAAACAATTTAAAAATTTATTTTTTTTCTTCACTTGAATTCAAACAATCACGGCTTAATAAAAATCAAATTAAAAATAGCAAAACAATTTATTACAAAAAAAAAAAAAAAAAAAAAAAAGAAGAGACAATTAAATAGTGAAAATAAAAATAAATACCAAATGAACCCAGTTGAATGAAATGAAAACTAATAAATATTGAAATATATTTCCTGGTTTCATTTTCACTTGACTCTGCTTGCCTGCGTTCATTGTCAAGGCCCCAGGAGAGCAATGAATAGCATTATCGTCATCGTCATCGCCATCATCATCATCATTCTTCCACCCACCTACCATCCTTTTTTTCATGGCCTTAAAATTACAACTTACCGTTGGTGGCGATAGATTTATGGTCGAGCCACGCCTTTCCTGCGGTCCTATACTTGAGTGGCGACGCGTTGGCAGACCACTGCCCGGTGTACCGCCCGGTGACGAGGCGCAGGATGGTGCAATGCGTATTTTTGGTGTCATTAGCGTATTGTCCGACAGCCGTCGATTTGGGAATGCATTGGCCACGCGTAGGAAATTACTATCCGGCGATGAGGGAGAACAGCCAAACCACCAGCCACCCAACATGCCAGAGCCTAGGGGAGAGAGAGTGAAAGTCGCGCATTAATGAAATATTTATTATCGACCAGTGTAAACTTATATTTCTCAGCAAATTAAAATGTCATGTAGAAGATTCCATTCTTTATTAATATTCCGCTAAAAGCAATTTAATTTAAGAAAAGTATCTCATTTTTGTTAAATGCGATTCTGTTGCCTTGCAATTAATTATTAATTCAAGTACTTGATAGGGAATAATGTTAAATTATATCGAGCAAAAAGCGATGGCAGTTACCAGGAGTCATTGACACCAGTGCTTTGGTCAACGTCATTGAATACTTGTCCACCTCATGGACTACAGGCAAATGTCATTGACTACTGATCAACGTCACTGACTTCTGGCCAATGTCATTGTCAATGTCATCGACTTCTGGTCAACTTCATTCGTGGCCTACTGGTCAATGTCAGTGACTTTTGGTCAACGTCATATGATAATGTTGTTGATTCCTGGTCATTGACTCTTGATCAGTTTCATTGACTTTTGATCAATGTCATTGACTTTTGATCAATGTCATTGATTTCTGATCAATTTCATTGACTTCTGGTCAATCTCGCTGATCAACCTCGTGGACTACTGGTTAACCTCATCGAGTCTTGGTCAATGGTATTCCTGGTCATTGACTTCGGGTCAATGTCATTGACTTATGATCAACGTCACATGATCAATGTCATTAACTAGTGATCAATGTCGTTGACTGCTGTTCATTGTCTCTTGATCCATGTTATTGACTTCTGGTCAATGTCATTGACTTCTGATCAATGCCATTAGCTTCTGGTCGATGTCATTGACTTCTGGTCAATGTCATTGACTTCTGGTCCAAGTCGTTGTCATCTCATTGACTCTTGGTCAATGGCATTGACTACTGGTCAAGGTCATTGACTCTTGGTCAATGGCATTGACTACTGGTCAAGGTCATTGACTCTTGGTCAATGGCATTGACTACTGGTCAAGGTCATTGACTCTTGGTCAATGTCAGTGACTTCCGGTCAACGTCATGTGATCAATGTCAATGTCGCTGACTCCTGGTCATTGTCTCTTGATCAATGTCATTGACTTCTGGTTAATGTCATTGACTTCTGATCAATGGCATTAGCTTCTGGTCGATGTCATTGAATTCTGGTCAATGTCATTGACTTCTGGTCAATGTCATTGACTTCTGGTCAAAGTCGTTGTCACCTCATTGACTCTTGGTCAATGGCATTGAATACTGGTCAAGGTCATTGACTCTTGGTCAATGTCAGTGACTTCCGGCCAACGTCATGTGATCAATGTCAATGTCGCTGACTCCTGGTCATTGTCTCTTGATCAATGTCATTGACTTCTGATCAATGTCATTGGCTTCTGGTCAATGACACTGACTTCTAGTAAATGTCATTGACTGATGGTCAATGTGACTGTCACCTCATTGACTACTGGTCAAAGTCATTGACTCTTGGTCAATGTCATTGACTACTTATCAATGCCTTTGACTTCTGGCAATGTTTTTAACTACTGGTCAATGTCATTGACTTCTGGTCAATCTCGTTGATTTCGGATCAACCTGGTTGACTACTGGTCAATCTCATTGACTCTTGTCAATGTCATTGACTATTGGACGACAATGAACTTGACTGCTGGTCATGCCATTATGCAGTGGTCAATGACATTGAATTCTTAGCTGCTGATCATCGGATGTTAATTTCGCTTTTTATGAGCTTCATGGATATTCAAAATTTTGAACTTTTGTGGGGGAGGTACCGGAAGGAGTGGACCATCTTAACATCAGATCTTGGGTCCACAAAGATATTACGATGTGTGAAATTTTAAGACAATCGGATGCTTATATAACTTTTTATGAGAGTTATAATTATTCGAAATATTGACCCTTTGTGGGGAATGTACTTGATGGAGTGGGGAGGTACTTGCCCTAGCACTGATGCAAATACTAGGATTAGCAATGTTGGAGGAAAATTGAATCATTTTTGTGTGTGTGTTTTTTTTTTTTTTTTGAAAATTTCGATTTTTGTGGAGGAGGTACCCGAAGGAGTGGACCGCTATTGCCCATTTCCGAACAAGATCTAATTTTGATAACAATATTCCGATGTACCAAGTTTGAACCATACTGGATACTCCTTTCGAGAGTTATAGTGAGCACCAGCCAGCCAGACAGAAAGACGGATGAACGGAAATCGCTAGATCATCTTCAAATGTCCTGAAATGGATTTGGTCCAAAGAGACCTAGGGTCTAAAGCCGTTATTTCGATGAGGCATATTTTGGACCTATCAAATGATATATACCTTCTCTAGCCATATGGTTGAGGGTATAATTAACTGGGCCATTAATTTCTTACAAATAATCCCCCGGATGATACTTCAATAATCTCTTACATTCTTTCCAAAAAATTCCCACTGTCATTTGCCATGACAACAAATTAGTCACTTCAACCTTCGGTGGTGACTAGACAGAAAATATGTTTTCAATGAATTCTTTTGAATTTTTCAAAACTCCATTCAATGGCCGTCTAATTGTCTGCTGGCATAATGAAAAACTAAGTGGCCCTTTAGTGGATAATTTTCTTTATTACATTTCCATGGAAATTCTTAATATGCTTACAACAAATTGTGTCTACTTTTGTACGTGAGTGCGTGTGGTAGCCATTAGTGTCTGATTAAGAGGATTGTTTAAAGACTAATCTGCTCGTCGTACATGGTATCTGTCACATGGCCATTCATTGATGATGACAATGAGATGATGATGATGATGACGATGACATGACAAATAGTAGTTGTTGAAGTTAAAGAGATAAATGTCAATTATCTCATTTTAATTTTTCGAATAGCTGACATGCCAAAACATGGCTGGCTGGTTTGGAATCGGAATTTGCTGTTTGTGCGGCAAGTCGATTAGATATCACAAAAATATGCATAAAAGTTACAGTTACAAAATGCTTGTTGTTGTTGTTGTTGTCGACATAATTAATTTTCAAGTTTTACCCCCAAGGATATTTTAGGGGAGGATAACTAATTCGCCTATTCTCTTTACCCCGCTCTCCATCCGCTCTTTATTGAGTGAGTGTATTACACAAGTTTGAAACTAAGTTTTGTTTGTATTTAGGCACTGCCGTCCTCCCTAAACTCACACATTTTTCTACATCACTTAATTTGGACCTTTGTGTGTGTGTGTGTGCATTTGTCTGATTGGATAGGCAGTCAAATTGGCAGACAGGCAAACAACCCTGAACAACATCAAAGTCTTTATCTTTATTAACATCCTCTTTGGAGCATCTTCATTATCATATAATTATGTACGTACATATATACATACAATTATTTACCAAGGTCATGAAAGTTTTACCCCCCACACATACACCCACACCCACATTTAATGATAGAAAGTTTATTAACATTGCCCTTACCTCCAGAATTCTTTCTGGCCATATCCTCGGCACTGGATGTCTTACGCTGATCAATGCGTAAATTGGGTATATTGAACGGTGGTATCGCATTCATATTATCCGTCGAGTACTGATGTCTTAGCGTACGATGCCGTTCCGGTGATGACATTGAGAGATTCTCCATTTTCAAACGGGTCTTTTGTTGGCGATCGATGCTATCCAGGAATGCATGAATTGCCTGTGGGGAAAAAGTGAAGAGATATTTTTTGAATTATTAGAGTGTGTTGATTTGCAAGGTACATTTCAAGCCTGACCATTTTGCAACAACAAATTTCGTTTATATCTAAGAGTTAAAGGTGGAACAGCGTTGGTAGTTTCAATTCAAAATAGGTCCATTGGGACAGTAGAGAACCTAACAAAATTTGAGTAGAGTTGGGATGGAGTGGAGTGATGTTCCACTGACTGGCTTATCGATCGCCAGAAGAAACGGCTGAAGCTAAAGCTTTGAAATTTGACAGTGAGTGTAAAAGGGTAAGATACGGCAGGACTATTTGAAAATTCATACTTAAAGCGCCCCAAATTCTACTTAAAGTACCCCAAAAGCAGGAGCTTGGACATTGAAATTTACACAAGCGCCACTTTGGTTTCGAAGCTTACAGAAAGGTACAACAATGTTATAAAACGATTGACATAGCTTCGGGACTTGGCCAAAGTGTAATTTTTGGAATTGCAGACTTTAATGGGATCACAATGGGAATGGGTAGCAGACGTTTTTATTATATGTCGTTTTCGGATATTTTGAATAAAATCCGAAACCAGAAGTTCGATCCTCATCCTAATCAGATATCATTATTGTCATGTGCCAATTGCGATTATTGACCGATTGACAGGGTGAGATGAAAAAACTGCAACCAAATTCAGACTGCTGTCATTTCTATGCCACTCGTCCGAAAGCTGTTAAAATTATTCCAGTGACAGCTCATTATATTGTTTACAAGTTTACAACCAAAAGCATTTTGGTTAGAATTTTCCAGAAAAAAAGTTATTCGTGGTGGGATTCAAGCGTGATAGTGTGATTTCTTAATATTTGGCTAGAAACCCACAAGTGGATATCGTTAGAGCACTCCAGCATTTAAATGTTAATAAATGATTTGTGTCTCGTACCATTGCTCGTTACCGTGATACTGGTAGCGTAGCCCGACCTCAAGGAAGTGGACGGAAGGAAACAGCAACATAAGCAGAAATGGTTCGGAAAGTAAAAAAGTGACTTGATCAAAACCCGCGTCGCAGTGGCCGAAAAGTGGCTCGTGAGCTGAACATATCACAATATTCCATTCGGCAAATATTGAAAAATGAGCTCGGGGTAAAGCCATTGAAATTCCAAAAAGTTCAAGAACTAACACCGCAACAGAAGGAAAATAGACTCAAAAGAGCTAAAGAGTTGCTTCGCTTGGCCGAAAGTGGTGAACTGCCGAATTTGGTTTTTTTTCCGATGAAAAAACATTCGTTGTCCTGCTGAAAATTTGCACCTTCGGTTGGCCACCAAAACTCAAGGGCCGGCCATGGTAATGGTGTGGGCCGCCATAACAGCCGATGGTCTTTCTCCGCTTGTATTAATCGACAGTGACATCAAAATAAATGCCAAATATTATCGCGAAAATATTCAGGAGGGTATATTAAAGCCTTGGGCACGCAAACATTTTGGTTGCAGACCTTGTACATTCCAACAGGACTCAGAACCATCGCACTCAGCACGCGCCACCCAAGAATGGTTACAAAATGAGGTTCCTGGCTTCATTTCTAACGCACAATGGCTACCAAAATCTCCGGATACCAATGCGTTGGACTATAGTGTCTGGAGTATTTTGGAAAGCAAGGTTGACACTAAAAATACCAAAGTGTCGATCACCTCAAGCAAGCGCTTCGCGGGAATGGGCCAAATTCCGCAGAGCAACATTCGGGCATCGTCTGATGGTTTCATTGGCCGTTTGGAGGCCATAATTCGCGCACAAAGAGACCAATTCGAACAAATCTAAACTTATTCTAAAACTTGATGCTATTTCCGACACATTTTGCTTACAAAAAAAAAAAAATTTGTTATATGACTTTGTTACAGTTTTTTATCTCACCCTCTAGATGGTAGAGATCGGATCATTTCTTTACAACATCTTGTGTTGATAGAAATATTGATATGTACCAAGTCGGAATAGATTTTGGCTGTTAATTTTGCGTTTTATGAACATTGAAACTTTGTGGGAGAGGTAACAGAAGGAGTGGACCGATATACCCCCATCTTCACAGCAGATTTTGTGTTAGAAGAAATAATGGGATGTGTGGAATATGAAGAGAACCGGATCCTTATTTGGGATTTTATAATTAGTTTGGTTATTTAAAAGTTTTACCCTTTGTGGGGGAGGTACCAGGAGGAGTGGACAGATAATGTCCATTTTCGCACCTGACATAGTACTGACGCAAATATTAGGATTTGCAAAGTTGGACCATAATCGGATTATCGTTTCTCTTTCTGTAGAGAAAATATTTTTTTTTTGAAAATTTCGACCTTTTGTGGGGGAGGCACCAGATGGTGAGGGCCGATAAATTCCATCTTCACTGTCTGAAGTGGTTTAATAAAAATATTGTGATGTGTGCAATTTGAAGGAAATCGGACACATACATCACATTTTATATGGGTTATAATTATTCAAAATTTTGACCTTTTGTGGGGAGCGGTACTTGATATTGTCCACTTGCTCCCGACCGATATTGCTCACCTGACCTAGTACTGATGCAAATATTAGGCTTTGAAATTTTTTTTAGCAAAATCGTCTTTTTTAGGCCGAAAATTATTTTCTTTGAAAATGTTGACATTTTGTGGGGGAGATACCATAAGGAGTGGACCGATATTACCCATCTCCGAATTCGACCTAATTTTGACAATAATTTTACGATGTACCAAGTTTGGATCAAATCGGGTACTTCCTTCAAGAGTTATCGTGCGCACCAGCGAGCCAGCAGATGGACGGACAGACAGCTGGGTCGACTCTAAATGTCCTGAAACGGATTTGGTCCAAAGAGACCTAGGGTGTGAAACCGTTATTTCGATGAGGCACGTTTTGCCCGTATCAAATGATATATACCCTCTCTTGCCATATGGCTAAGGGTGTAAAATGGGCGGTTTTAAAAGAGGATATAAGAGAGCGCCTTCAATATTTTCTCCTATCAACTCCCATAAATATTTCGCCAAAATAGGAGTTTGGAAAACATAATAAGTTCGGAATTCATGTGCGGTATTGGAACCAGTTTTAATTGGTTATTCCATAATTTGGTTTGGATTTTATGAAAATAATAGTGATATCTTGTCAAAAATATTATTACTCTTAGTATTGGCATGAAATCTTTACTTAAAGAATATAATTTCACTTCATTCTCCATCAACTTTATTTCAATATAAGTTAAAAAAAAGATCGACTCTTAAAAAATTGTCGTAATTAAGTGGCCACACGATGATATTTCAATTAATTGCTCTTCGTTTTTTCCAATTCACTCCATTTCACAGAAGAGTATTGGCAAAAGCAAAAAAAAAAAAAAAAAGAACAACCCAACCAGTCGATGGATGGAAGGATGACTGACTGACTGCCTGACTGGTTGGCTGGTCTTTGAAAAGCAATTTCATTTACGTTTCTCGATGGCATATTATCACGGCGTTTAATGTAGCGTAAAACTGCACCATTTCAATTTATGCAATAAAAATGAGATTGAGGTATTGCCATATTGATTCTTATTATTAACACACATTCATATACACCCATACATACATACATATATACATACCTCAAGTAAAAAGCAATATTGATCCAAATTCAAGTGCGGATTTATGGTGTGTGGTATCAGCAAGGGCAATACATTATTGGCAACCGCCTCCGTTGTTAAGCCATATGAAGAATCGCAAAATAGCCTTTGATAAATACCTGTGGAACAAGACAAGAAAAGACAGGAGAAGAGAGATGGGGAGAAAAAAAGAAAACGAGCCAATGAATAATGGGATAAATTAAAAGAAAGCAAAATTGGAGAAAGTGCAAATGAGAAATATTTGATCCATATCCATGCATAACGAACACCCACTGCCACGCACACCTCCACACACACAGGTCGAGTGGAAATCTTTGATTCCCCAGCTCCGCCATGTCATTGATAAAGTGAATCATGTGGCCAATGAATGCAAATCTGTCAGCAAGCATGGTGGCGGCGGATGCATTTGTGCATCGATGCATGCATGCATGCCTCCAACCTCCAAATGAATACTTACGCACTGAACGCATAATTAAATCTGGATCCGGTATTTCGACACCAGCAAGTATCGTCAATATTTCCTCTGTGACCTGATGCCAACGCCGCCGCAAATATTCATAAAAACAAATTGGAAGAGAAGAAGATGAAGGAGTAAAAAATATGCAAATGGCACAAAAAATGTACATCCAATGAACAACCAAAATGATTAATGAAGAGCATATTTATGTTGAGCGGCAAGAAGAAAAAAAAACCTGCAACAGCGTAAACAAAAACAACAACAACAAAATAAATGTATTCCAGTGAAATTAAATAGTATGTGTGGGCCTGTGATAATTGCCGATATGATGATGGCAATGAATTCGCAATGGCGAAATAAAACGGAATTTTTATGAAACGACTTGAATTTTATTGGCAACCCTATGCCTGAGTAAACGTGGTTTTAGTTGCAGCTGATCGCGATTTGTTTTTTACGCTTAAATATCGACTGTTTGCCAATATTTCGTATTGTCATCTTGTTCAAAGACTAATTCTGTGTCGGGAAATCTAAAAAATATCAACGTTTTCATCATAAAGCAATGTATATTGGCCTTTTTTCGTTTTGTTGAGAACGAGACATTGTTGTTGCTGCTGATTTTTCTTCTTGCTGTTCTTTCCTGCAAATTTACCTGTTGTTGTTACTGGAATATAAAATGCCGCCAACGAAAACACTTACTATTTGCGGATCATGCAATGAATCTGTAACGAAAACCCAAGGGTCCATCAAATGCAACATATGCTGTAATTGGTTTCACTCGTTGTGCCTCAAACTATCTGACAAGGAACTTGCTGCACTTAAGGCAATTAAGATCAGTGCTTTTATTTGCCAGTCTTGTGACTCTAACCTGGATCGCAATAGTTCAAGTGACGATTTTGTAAACCTTAACAAGAAACTTGATGCATTTATTGCTAGTCATCAAGGTGAATTGATTGCTATCAAGTCGGCTATAGACAACATGAATACACAGATGACATCATGCCTGTCTGAAATCAAGGCAGACATTTCCAAATGCAATGATCGTGTTGTAAGGGTTGAGAACTCAGTGTCTTCTTTGCATGAAGAAAATAAAGCATTGTGGGCCGAAAACAACTCACTACATCACAGATTAAATCGTGCTGATTTCCTCGTGAGTGGTCTTCCAGATGGTGTGGACGATTTAGTGTCTGTGATAATTTCTCTTGCTGCTACCTTTAATGTGGAATTGGGACGCCGTGACGTTGCTTTGGCTTGCTATATTAACAGAAAGAGACATGTTCTTGTTAAGCTAAATTGTGCCGAATTTCGTGACCAGATTATGAGGAAGTATTTCCAGAGTCGATCGCTGCAACTTCGGGATGTTTTACCTGGTGTTGGTGGGGACATTTCCAGAAGATTATATCTAAATGACCACTTTTCCCCCGCTGCCAGTAGACTGAATAGTATATGTACCAATCTCCGTAAGCAAAATATAATAACAAAGTTTAGAATCCTGAATGGTGAAACTAAAGCTCGGTTAACAATGCCTGATGGCAGTATTGTTGTTCGAGATATAAATGAATGTTCGTTGCTGATTCCTGGTCAGAGTACATCATCCAACTGAAGTTTTATAGTATTTGCTTTCATATACATTTTCATTTATCTTATGTTTGATTATTAGTACTTAACCTCTGTATTATTGCTGCATTTTGATAAAATTTAATTAGTCTTTTGTTCTATCAGATCGATTTTTAAATTTTCATATCACATTTTGTTTTTGTAAGCGATTAGCTGTGCTATGAAATATATAAAGAAAGATTTTTTATTTTTATAAATGATAAATTTAGGTTTTTATTGTTACTTATTACTTTTCTTAACACTATTGTTCTTCATTTGGTTCCCCGCCTCTACATTTTTCACCTATTTTGATGTCTTCTAATGAAAATCTTGGTCCATTGGTAAGTGGCAATTCTTATTTAAAAAATGTATTGTCTCCATTTAAAAGTAACTTAAATGTTGCTCACATAAACTGCAGAAGCATTCGGCCTGTTACCAAGCTGGATGAATTGAAGAATCTTTTGGGAAATAATAATACTTTTGATATTCTAGCAGTTACTGAAACATGGCTTGTTCCTGATATATTAAATTCAGCAGTTTCTATTCCGGGGTACTATTTCTGTCGTGGTGATCGTGAAATACCAGGTAGGGGTGGTGGTGTCGGAATTTACTTATCCAAGGGTCTCCCTTTTAGACATGTTTTTAAATCTTCAGTTCACCATTGTGAATCATTGTTTTTAGAATTACAATTCCAGAGCACTAAAGTTCTTTTTGGTGTAATTTATTTGCCTACTGGTGATATTGATTTATTTGAAAGTCTACACTGTAACATTTTTGAGGAATATAATAATATTGTACTTTTTGGTGACTTCAACTTCAATTTGTTTAACCCAACTAAGGCAATAATTTTTCGTAGACTTTGTACTCGATTAAATTTGAGTATTATTCATAACTCCAAGCCTACACACTTCGACCTAGGTAGCCGGTCTACGTCCTTGATAGATTTTATGCTAACCAGTGATTTTTCTATTGTAGCTTATTCTGATCAGATTCAATGTCCTGCTATATCAGACCACGCGTTAATTTTTGCATCACTTTCGATAAGTTTTAGCAGCTTGCCTGATTTTGTTGAATACAGGAACTTTAACAATATTGATTGGAATGGCATACGGAACTTTCTTGCTTCATACGATCCAAATTTGGTTTTTAGTAGTAGTAGTAGTTTAGTAGTGTTGGTGTGGATGCCAAATGTGCCAGCATAACTTCTCTTTTGGATTCCCTATACTCGTTTGTTCCGGTGGTTAGGAAAAAGATCAAACACTCAGTTGATCCCTGGATGAAGTCTATTGATGTAAGATTTGCTGTGTCTTTAAGGGATTTGGCCTTCTCGTCTTTTCAGAATGAACGAACACAAGAACACTGGCGAATCTACTGCAAATATCGAAATCGTGCGAAAGCTATAATACGCAGATGTAGAAGATATCACTATTCCAGGCTTTTTAATGGAATAAATTCTCGTGGTCTATGGAAAGCGTTAAGAGGATCTGGATGTGTGGGTAATGATCATGAAAATATTGATATCGATGTTAATAGCTTAAATGATTTCTTCTCTAGTTCTTCTTCGAATACTCCTGTTATGCCCCTAAATTTGGAAAGTTTTACGGACTCAGACTCATCTTTCACTTTTCGTTGTGTGGATGAATCTGAATTTATAGAAGCTTTATGCAGGGTAAAGTCTAAATCAATAGGTGTTGATGGGATTCCTATTGCATTTATAAAGAAGGTTTTTCCTTACATTTCCAACCTGATTTTGGACTTAGTTAATTGCATATTAACTACATCTACATTCCCCCATCATTGGAAAGCTGCTAGAGTGGTACCGATTCCTAAATGTCGTTCGGTCAGAGAACCATGTGATCTAAGGCCTATATCAATTTTACCAGCTCTATCAAAGGTTGTGGAGTCCATTATTAAGAAACAAATGCTTGAGTATTGTTCTCAAAGAATTACTGAATCTCAGTATGCTTTCCGTAAAAGATACAATACCACACATTTGCTTCTTAAATTGACTGATTCTATTCGTGGACACATTAACAATGACAAGTTATGTGTTCTAGTTGCATTAGATTTGTCTAAAGCATTCAATTCTCTTGATCATTGCCTTCTTATATGGAAGCTTAAATATAATTTTGGTTTTTCCAAATCAGCATGTATGCTTATTCTTTCTTACTTACAAGATAGAACCCAGTTTGTTATGTTAAATGGTGTCATGTCAAATACTTGCCCTTTATTTTCCGGTGTACCCCAAGGATCTGTCCTTGGCCCACTGCTTTTCATTTTATATGTCAATGATCTCCCGCTACATGTAAACTCATCAGCTTGTGAAACGTATTTGTTTGCTGATGATATTTTTATCCTCTTCAATGGTTGTCGTGAATTTCCAATGTTACTTGAGAATGACATTAATGTTTATCTGAGACGCTTTGTTGATTGGGCAGCGAGAAATTCATTAAATATTAACTCATCTAAAACCAAGGCTTTGGATTTTAGATTTAGTAACAGATCTGTACACCTACTAAATATATTTATTGGTCAAGACAAAGTTGATTTTGTTCACCAGCATAAGTGCCTTGGAGTTACAATTGATTGTGAACTTTCCTTCAAACATCATATTGATACTTTAATGGGTAGAGTATATAGCGTTTTACGTCAGATTTATTCGTCAAACATGTACTTAACACAAAATGTAAAACATACTTTAGCAAGTTCTCTATTGATGACACAAGTCTTGTACGGTATTGAGGTATTTTCTGGAACTGTTGCTTCAAATATAAATAGGCTAAAGCGTATTGTTAACATAATTACACGTTTTGTATATAATCTACGACGTGGCAGTCATGTATCTAGTCATGTTATACGTTTTCTGGGGTGTTCCTTTGACATGTTTATTAAATACCGCTGCTTATTACTTTTTTATAACGTTATTAAAAATAATGTCCCTTACTCATTTAGAACGTCCTTTACCTTTACTCATTCATCCAGAAACCCACAGATTTTTATACCTAGAATCTTTAAAAATGTTTTTGCTAGATCGTTTTTGGTCAGAGTTGCGAGATGTTGGAATACACTTCCACTCGAATTACGCATATTTTCCCAGAGTAACAATGCTTTTCGCCTCAAGATTTTGCAATTATTTCTAAACACATCTTAGTTGTGTCTAAATCTAGTTTATGGTAAATGTATTATATAATACACAACTTAAGAATTAAGATGCCGCTTACTGAATATTTTATGTAGTAAAATAGTTTAATTTGTTTTAATGGCTGGGGAGCCAACTTTTCTTTTCTTTTTTGAATATTAGAGTAAAAGTAGAAATAGTTTTAAATAAATTAAGAATCTTTATATTGTAAATAAATTAAGCTCAGGTTATATTATTTAATGCAAGTTGATACACATTATTGGCCTTGGAGGCTTTGTATCACTAATGAATTGAAATAAATAAATAAATAAATAAATAAATTGAATGTCACAACTTGAAGATGTTTTTGAGGAATTTAAGTTTTAACCCTAGTATTGAGGGATAAAAAAAATAAATGAATAATAAATAAATACATAAAATAATTGTATTGATGATTTACACATTAATCATTACCGGTTACCCAAAAATATTATGATAAGATATTTGGAAAATTTCGGTTCAAGATTTGTTCAATATTTAAATCTTATGTATATATTATTACTGCTAACAATACGACGATTATTTTGGTTGAACATTTTAATCCTCAGATGAGTCATAAAAATAACCTTTTTTCAGAATATGCTTAAAAGGGTCTTTACTTTGGACACGGGTAAGGCTATATAACCCGAGTACTACCATATCCACTTGGAATTATTTACAACCTATGGCTATTGATTTGTCGAAAGTAAGAATGAAAATTGTTATTACGAGTTAGTTAGACTAACTCCTTGTCATAGGAGTTATTTTCAAATAACTCCTGGGGAGATTATCCCAGATAAAAAACAAGAGACTGATGAGGATTGCTTGCTTTTTCTGAAACTTAGGTATTCCCTGCATTTCCCCTTGGTAAACATTGCCATCTTTCTCCACTTATAAAAAACGTAGTTTATACCCTCAGCCATTGGCTGCAGAAGGTATATATCATTTGAACGTGCATCATCGTAATAACAGCTTTGAGGCTCTAGGTCTCTTTGGACCAAATCCGTTTCAGGACATTTGGAGTCGATATAGTGATGTCTGGCTGGTGCGCACGATAACTCTCGAAGAGAGTGTCCGATTCAGTCCAAACTTAGCACATAATAATATTATTATCAAACTTAGATCGAGTTCGGATATGGACAATATCGGGTAACTTCTTCTAGTACCTTCTCTACAAAATGTTAACATTTTCAAAATAAATATTTTATTGCACAAAAAGGAGAGGATAATAAGATTTTGCTCCAACTTTTCAAATCCTAATATTTACATCAGTGCCATGTCAGGAGCGAAAATGGATAATGTCGGTCCACTCCATTAACCAAGGAGTGAAAACGGAATATAATGGTCCACTCCTCTTGGTACCTCTCCCATAAAGGGTCAACATTTTGAATAAGCATGGAGGTCATAAATCGCGAAATTAACATACTATTCCTATTCCCCAACATATCCATCATCTGTTTTAAAGAAAGATCGCATTATTCCTTCTGGTATTTCATCCACAAAGGGTCAAAGTTTTGAATAACCGAAACGATTATAAAATCCGAAATAAGCATTCGGTTCTCTTTATATTTCACACACCCCTTTATTTCTACTAACACAAGATCTGCTGTGAAGATGGAATACATCCAGCCCTTCTGGTACCACCCCACAAAGGGTCAAAATTTTGAATATCCGTGAAACTCATAAAGAGCGAAATTAACATCCAATTCTATTCAGACTTTATAAAACTCAATATTTCTATTAAACCAAAATCTGTTATAAAGATGGCAGATATCGAAACATTTCCTTTGGTACCTACCCCATAAAGGGCCTAAGTTTTGAATAACCAAATTATAAAATCCGAAATGAACCTCTCTTCATATTTCACACATCCCATTATTTCAACTAACACAAGATCCTCTGTGAAGATAGGATACATCTGGGCATTCCATTTGGTACCTCCCCGACAAAGGGTCAACATGTTGAATATCCGTGAACTCATAAAGAGCGAAATTAACATCCGATATCATGCAGACTTGGCACATCTCAATATTTCCATCAACGTAAGATCTGGTATAAATATGATAGATATCGTACCATTCCTTCTGGTACCTCCCCCACAAAAGGGCCAAAGTTTTGAATAACCAAAACTATTATAAAATCCGAAATAAGCATCAGGAGTTTCTCATATTTCGAATATCCCATTATTTCTACTAACACAAGATCTGCTGTGAAGATGAAATATATAGGATCACTAATTCTGGTATATCCCAGCAAAGGGTCGAAATTTTGAATATTAACGAAGTTCATAAAACTCGAAATTAACATCCGATTCCATTCAGACTTTTTCCATTTTAATATTTACATCAACACAACATCTGTTATAAAGATGATAGAGATCGGGCCATATATTGTGGTGTCCCCCACCCACATAGGGCTCAATATTTTTAAAAACAAAACGCTCAAATAAAGCGAGATAAGCATCCAAATATCTTCAATCTTCGGTGGGCCACCAGAACTCAAGCGCCGGCCATGGTGATGGTGTGGCCCTCTATAACTGCCGATGATCGCACTCACCTCATATTCATCGACCGTGGCATCAGAATAAATGCCGAAAGTTATGTCGAAAATATTCTGGATGGTTTATTAAAGCCTTGGGCACGCAAACATTTTGGCCGCACACCTTGGACAATCCAACAGGACTCGGCACGCGCCACCCAAGAATGGTTACAAACTAAGGTTATTCGCTTCATTTCCAGCGCACAATGGCCGCCATAATCTCCGGATACCAATCCGTTGGATTATTGTGTCTAGAGTATTTTGGAAAGCAAGGTTGGCACTAATAAATACCAAAGTGTCGATCACCTCCAGCAAGTGCTTCGCCGGAAATGGGCCAAAATACCGCAGAGCAACATTCGTGTGACGGTTGTGACGGTTTCATTGGCCGTTTGAAGGCAATAATTCGCGCCCAAGTTGATCAATTCGAACAAATCTAGACTTATTCTAAAATTTGATGCCATTTCCGACATTTTTTGCTTCCATTCAATAAAATTTAACAAAAAAAAAAAAAAAAAAAAAAAAAAAAGTAAAAATTATGGCGTTTTACTTTGTTACAGTTCTTTTTATCTCACCCTGTAATCATAACGGAAATCAAAATATATTTAAATAATCGAACATATTATTTTAAATAAAGTTAAGCTTATGTTCAACGTTCATATAAATTTCATAGAAATCTTGAAGAAGTATTTTCGTTTGGTGCTATTGGTCTTCCACTTATAGAAGACCTGGCACGGCTTTCTAAATATGAGTATTTATATTTAGAAAGCCGTGCCTAAAGAGTAGAGTTGCATTTACTGATTCATATAGATAGAGGACGACCTATAGATTTTCTACAAATCGAATAAAGTTTAAGAGTTCAACGATTTCATTTTGATGTGCTAAAGACGCCTTCTTAAAGTTCTCTAATGAAAGAACTTCTGTTTTTCCGAATTTAATTATTTTACTTAGGTCTCAGATTTGATCAAAGGAACCTCTATGCATCCTTAATATTTTAAAAACTATGTGTTCTAAGAACTGATGTATCCGTTACCTGTTTTCATGAAGCAATAAATTCAAAAATTTAATTTTATTACGCTCTTAACTGAAATGGTTTTTTTCTCACCAGTTTTTATTCATAATTAAAGCCAAACCCATATTTGGAATTCCACATGCATAGCTGCATGCATGCAAATCATATTTCACAAATTTATAGCCACAAAATGTTAATACTTTCAAATTTGCCACACAACCACAATCATACCTAACTATACCGAAAAACCTCGTTCGTATGGCAGCATTCATTCATTCATCATTGATTGATTGCGCACAATCTACAACAAGGTTCGAAGAATTTGAAATATGAGAATGTATGTAGCAATGTGTTTTAATAGGTTCTCCAGAAATTGTATATTTTTATTTTATTTTATTTTTATGAAAAAAAAAAACAAAGCGAAACATTGCTATGTTACAGGAGCCTTGGTAGCGTATGAGTTGTGACGGCATGACGTATACGCCAGCATGTACCAAAACAAAAGGGCATAAATATATTATTCTTATGGGGTGGCTAGAGGGACAATTAAGAAATGAAATTTTATATATTTTTTTAATTGAAGAGTTGGGCTTAAGAAAATGCTAAACATTTCCGGTACTGCTTATAAAATCTCAGAAATCATTATCCTATTCGATTTCAAAATAGATTTCCTGTGAAATTTATTTTTAAAACAACCCAATATTATTTCCTGGATTACCATTTGAATTAAATAAAAGCAAACGAAATTTTTCTTGCTACAACTAAATATTTGTGTTGTGAGTGAAATCTGTGAAATGCCAACGTAATGTGTTTGAAATGTTCCGGTAGGAAATAATGAGAAGAAATTCAAATAAAAATGAAATTTCAAAAAAAAAAAAAAAAAAAGAAAATATATATTTTTAGTATTAATGCGAAGATGATTTGTTGGTGAATATTGACATCTTCTTAGGTCTCAACCGAAAGAGAAAAATTATCAAAATAAACTGTTAAAAATGAAAACATATTTTTTTAATAGATTATTGTTTATCTATCATGTTTTTGTTGTTTGCTGTTGTAGTTTTTTTCTTCCTGGCCACTTCAGTAACATATTTTCGCATGTTCCTCTGACATTTATTGTTCACTTACCTCCTGCTTGTCCATTTTATCCATAAGACTTTCAATGCAGATGAGAACATTTTGCACAATTTTCGGATCGTTTAAATTCTTTTCGAAAACAGATTTAACCTTCGGCAAGACTAATCGCTTAATTGACATTTCAGTGATACAATCGTAGACGTTTGTGACGGCAACAACGGCGGCATTCTGAAATTGAATAGAATTTGGAAATAAGTATTGATTTTTGTTATAGAAAATTTAATATTAAAAATTTAAACAGACAATGTCGAAGAGGATGTGATTTTATGGATAATACCATACGGCAGGTTTTTTAAACTATAGTGTTTATTCGAAACAATTGCCCATATTCGACGGACCCATGTTTTTTTTTTTGGGTCCATTCCAATCGACAAGGCTTGTCCGCAGGCAACATTCTTTGCGTCAATTGAATTTTGTACGGGAACAAATGCAAATCAATGCGAATAATCCGTTGTAAAGTGGACCGAGCCATGCCCAACTGCTGAGAACGGCGTTTTTGGGATGTTCTTGGGGACCTCTTAACACCGGCTCGTACGACAGCGATATTCTCGGCCGATCGCCTTGGTCGACTTTTAAATGGCCTCTTCGGATTAGAAAGAGCCTTACCAGTCGAAAATTGTTCGTATAAACGCTTAATGGTGTTCTTAGAAGGCGAACTTCTCACATTTTTTAATGTTTTAAAAGCACGTTGAGTTTTCACAATTGACTTCTTCTGTTGAATGTAAATTTCAACTATTTCAGAGCGCTCGCGTGGCGTGTATTGGTTCATGGTAAAAATCTGCTTGGACTGACGCTTCAAACGCGATATGTCATTAAGCGATGTGACATCTCTGTCAAAAGTTATTGCGTTGCCAGATGGGTCCGTCGAATATGGGCAACCCTGTACACGTTAATAAACAATGTTACGCTACACTGCTCCAGGACGCGGGATATTGGTGACTTTTTATTTGATAATATAAAAATAAAAAATCGGTCGGTGACTTTGGCACAACGTGAATTTCATGGCAGATCCCGGAGTATCTGTGCAGCAGAGAATATTGCTGCTGTATCCGAGGATGTCATGGTAGCACCGCCGATATCGACCAGACGACGTGCCACACAAATGTGTATCAGTCGACGGTCTTTCCTGCGAATTTTGGTACAAGATTTGAATATGTCTCCGTACAATGTCTAGATGATGTATCATCTGTTAACTGCTGACCGCCAATCGCGTCTAACATACGCTCAAGCTACCCTTAATCACCAAAAAGAATAAGATGATTTTTCATCAAAAATAATCATGAGTGGAGAGGCCAACATAAGTAAAATTTACGCTTCTGGGGCACTGAAAATCCACGAAGATCCATTTCACCCGCTCAAAGTCACTATATGATGTGCTGTTTTCGCCGGAGGAATCATCGGACCTTTTTTCTTCGAAGGCATCGCAGATCAAGCGGTTACTGTGAATGGTGAGCAATACAAAACAATGATCATAGACTTATTTTTGCCGTAACTTCATGAGTTGGGATTGAAAAACATGTGGTTCAAGTCAAGGTCAAGTTGTTCTGCCTTATAACTGAGAAGGGAAATACCTTATGCAACCCAGGATTCGTGCATCGGAATATTTTTGTCATATTAAGATCAGCCGAAAACGGTCAATGCAAAACAAAAACTAGAAATATTGATAACCAGTAAGCAAAGGCTATAGTCGGGCGGGTCCACCATTTGATACCCTGCAACACTACAAAATGGGGTAAAGATTCTGCAGATCTGAAACCTATTTGACCAGAATGAAGACTCCCTGAGATAAATTCACATATCTATTACATAAGTAGAGCAAATGTTGATCGTAATTGTTCCCCTTTTCGAATAATCATTATAGACCTGACACAATATTTTCCAATTATGATTGGACGGATCAGATGTTCCTAATGCCTCTTTAGAAGAGAACAGAAAATTCACGTTCAAAAATTTTTTTTCCATCCATATTGGACATTTTATTTTCATTTCATTCTTGAAATAATGTTTCATAGCCTTGTAAATACTTTTTCTTGACTTTTGACCGGAACCACGAGATCATGCAAATCTTCGTAGCATTTACGCCCCATAAAAATACGAAAATTTAGATTCCTCTATATGAATTCCTGTACCTCCGATATTTAGCTGTATTCGTCAACGAAATCTGTATTTTCTGTCAAAAAGCCATCCTGAATTGGTGAGAATTGTGAAAATTCGTCCAGCCGTTATTGTGTTATAAGAGGTCCAACTAAAATCCTCTGTTTATACCCTCCACCATAGTACGAAGGGGATATTAAGTCTGTCATTCCGTTTGTAACACCTCGAAGTATACAGTCTAGCCTCCACAGCCTTCTTTATGTCGATTTAGCTATGTCCGTCTTTTCGTCTGTCGCTCTGTCCGCCCATTCGTCTGTGGAAATCACTTAAGCTTCCGTGACATTATTCACCAGAAATGCTTCAAATTTGGTATTTGAAGTCCGTTCAGGTCAACGCCTTCGTATAGCCCCCATAAAACGTCACCTCCTGATATGGGGTATTTTGATGATTTTAGCGACATTTTTCATCGCAATTGTTTAAAATTTGGTATTTTAAGTTCGTAATGGATACTATGACACCCTATGACAGAACATTTTCTGTGCAGGTTCTCGTTTTGGTATAGCCCCCATATAATGGTATCTCCCTATATTCGGTATTTTGATGATTTTAGCTGCATTTATTCACCGTTTTTTTTTTAATGACAAAAGTTGCTTATGCAGGTCCACGTCGTCGTTTAGACTTTAATATAACGGTTACGTCCGGTATTTCTAACAAAATTTTCAACGGATTTTATTATTTTGAAGATTGTCAAATTCGTTCCAAATTGTCTAGGGCCGAACTTACAGCTTTTTTACTTCTTCTATTTTTATACCCTACACCACAAGGTGGTCAGGGTATTATGTCTTTGTGTATTTTTTTGTAACAGGCAAAAGGAAACGAGATACACCCATAGTTCCTTTTGATGATCTGCATAGAATCACATTCTGAGTCCATTTATGCATGTCCGTCCGTCCGTCTGTCCATGTATTTTTGTAAACAAAGTACAGTTCGCATTTATTGCCCTATCCAGATGAATTTTTGCACAAATCATTTGTTTGGCCCAAGGACTATTGCAATTAGTCAAAATTTAGATATAGCTCCCATATATATCTTTGTCCGATTTGCCTTTTATTGTGCACCAAACGTGTAATATCAGCCCGAATAGTATGGAATTTTGCGCAAGCAACCAAATTAGGCCTGAAAATAAGTATGCCAAATTTGATCGAAATCGGTTCAGATATAGCTATAGCTCCCATATATATTGTTCATCCGATTTATTATTTTTGTCCTCCGCAGTCGTAATATGCACTCTGTAATAACAATATTTGGGGAAATATATCAAATGCAGCTCAGAAATACATTTCTTAAATTTTATCGAGATCGGTTCAGATTTGGATATAGCTCCCATATATAACTTCGTCCGATTTACCTTTTATTGTGCACCAAACATCTAATATTTGCCCAAATGGGATGGAATTTGGTACATACGACCGAATTGAATCTAGAAGCTAGTATGCAAAATTTGGTGAAGATCGGTTCAGATATAAATCAAATACAGCTCAGAAATATCTTTGACCAAATTTTATCGAGATCGGTGCGGATTTGGATATAGCTCCCATATATATCTTTATCTGATTTCAAATTAATTTTGCACCAAATGGACAATACAATTCCGAATTTAAAAGATACAAATGCTTCGGCATATTTAGTCCTTTGAATTTTAAATTATAATTATAATCATAGCGTGTATGATTGAACTCTCCCATAAAAAAATTTAATTGTTATGTGGAGCTCAACTAAATTAGGAAAGTGGTGTAGGATATCATAAAATCGGCCCGCCCGACTTTAGGACTTTCTTTACTGGTTTACTTCTTCTATTTTTTTTTTTTTTTTTTGAAGATATTTTCCAATTGATTCTGATCTATAAGTCTTTCTGGTCTAAAAGCTCAATTACATATACAATCCCTTATCTATGCATTCTGGGGTCCTTCTCTTCATAATTGTGGAAGTCAACAGTGTCGAAAACATTCATTTGCTATAAGCAATCACAAGGGCCTTAATACTGTCTTATTTATTTATTTTTTGAATTGCTCTAAGGTTGTCTCTAATTCCCTTTTAAGATGTTATTTCAAGATTTAAGATTCGCCTTGACCAAGTAACTGCTTCGCTTTTCCCATCATCATCATTTGTGGTGGTTTTACATACCATGTCACACATATCTGTGTGTGTGCGTATTTTTGTTTCTAAAATTCCTCTCCTTGTTGGGGAAAATTCTAATACAATTGTGTTGCAAATGCAAGTTAAGCCCTAAATGCTGATATCCACAGGCGCACGGCGACGGCATCTTGATGGCACGTCCTGTTGGCTGGCAGACATCAGCCACCAACAAGTGTTTTAAATATTTCGCCTGGCCAGAAATAACCATGGCAACATAAAGAGACTATGGGGGGAAGTTCAGAAGAGGATAGAGCGGGGCAGGAGAAACATTCCAACACCAAGAGCAATGAGATTTTTTGTTTTTGCATTCTGGTGCTTAGCTTTTGTGATGTTGTTGTTGTTATTGCTGTAAAGACCGGATGCAAACATGGTTCAGGCTTTTGCCTCTGATCCACTCAAGAAAACTATTCCTTTGATAGAGCAACAGTTTTATGTGTTTTCTTTTTTAGTTTTTCCTATTTCTCTTTTTTTTTTGCATAAGGCCTTCGACCTAAATGCATTATGTATGGCATGTTAAGAATATTTTCTCTGGCTGTTGTTGTTGTTGTTATTGCCGTTGTTGTTTTTCTTGGGCTTGTTGCAAATACAGCTTTCAGTAACAAGAAATTTTACTTTTGCTTACAACGAAAAACTGCTCAAGCAAAAACCTCTCTCATGCACTTAACCATAAACACAATGCAGCAGACAAAAATTTACAGAAAATCTCCTTCTCCTGCCACTCCTCCACTGCCCCCCCCCTCCTTTCTCACAAATATGTTTGCTGGTCCTCTCCAGCATTGTATCACTTCTGTTTGATGTTATCCTTGCATGACTGAATGTTAACCATGTTCGAGAGCCACATTTGTTTGGCGTTGTTGCCTGAATTCCAAGCATTACTTACAGTTTGTTGTAGTTGCAGATGCTGTTGTTGTTGTTTTTGTTGTTCTACTTACCTGAACTTGTATGGTTGAGCTCTCAAAGGAGGAAAATAACATTGGCATTATGTCGGTGACAATATCAGGTGCCGGTGTCTTTTCTATGACCAAATGCAAATTCTCGAGCAGTGTAACTGTGGCCTGTATTGATTTGGGCCCACTCAGAATGATTCTGTGAAGAAAGGGAGAAAAAAAAGCAGGATGAAACAAAAATGGTGGACATTTTCAATTGAAATATTCTTGGAATAAAAATTAATGGTGGTGGGTCAGCAAAAAAAAAATTCTTGGAATTCTGACCATAGTACATATATTACTCCAGAGAATTTTGATCTGAGCTATAATATGCGATTTTCTAAGAATTATTTCAAGGATTATGTGAGCTGTTATCCGTGATATGTAGGGTGTATAAGGTTTATCATTCCGTTTGTAACTCCTCGGAATAAGCATTTTAGACCCAACTAAGTACATATACAGATCGAGATGAAAAAACTTCAACCAATTTCAGACTGCTGTCATTTCAAAGCCACTCGTCCAACAGCTGTTAAAATTATTCCAGTGACAGCTCATTGTATTGTTTACAAGCGTACAAAAACATTTTGGTGAGAATTTTTCCAGAAAAAAGTTATTCGTGATGGAAATCAAGGGTGATAGTGTGATTTCTTTATATTTGGCTGGAGAACCACAAGTGGCTATCGGTAAAGAACTCCAGCATTTAAATGTGAATAAATCTTTTATGTCTCATACCATCGCTTGTTACCGTGATACTGGTAGCGTAGCCCGACGTCAAGGAAGTGGACGGAAGAAAACAGCAACATTAGCAGAAATGATTCGAAAAGAAAAAAGCGACTTGATGTAAACCCGCCTCGCAGTGGTCGAAAAATGGCTGGTGAGCTGAACATGTCGCTATATTCCATTCGGCAAATATTGAAAATATGCGCTAGGGGTAAAGCCATTGAAATTCCAAAAAGTGCAAGAACTTACACCGCAACAGAAATAAAATAGATTCAAAAGAGCTAAAGAGTTGCTTCGCTTGGCCGAAAGTGGTGAGCTGCAGAATTTGGTTTTCTCCGATGAGAAAACATTCGTTGTCCAGCAGTTTGTAAACAAACAAAATTATCGTGTTTACTTGCCAAGGAAGCCAGCTGAAAATGTGCACCTTCGGTTGGCCACCAGAACTCAAGCGCCTGCCATGGTGATGGTGTGGGCCGCCTTAACAGCCGATGGTCGCTCCCCGCTCGTATTGATCGACCGTGGCATCAGAATTAATGCCGAATATTATCGCGAAAATATTCTGGAGGGCCGAAGACATTGGACATTCAAACAGGACTCAGCACCTTCGTTTCAGCACGCGCCACCCAAGAATGGTTACGTAATGATGTTCCTCGCTTCATTTTCAGTGCACAATGTCCAGCAAAATCTCCGGATACTAATCCATTGGACTATTGTGTCTGGAGTATTTTGGAAAGCAAAGTTGGGACTAAAAATACCAAAGTGTCGATCAACTCAAGCAAGCGCTTCGCCGGGAATGGACCAAAATACCGCAGAGCAACAATCAGGCAGCATATCAAGGTTTCATTGGCCGTTTGTAGGCCATAATTCATGACAAAGGTGACCAATTCAAACAAATCTAAACTTATTCTAACATTTGATGCTATTTCCGACAATTTTTGCTTTCATTCAATAAAATTCAAAAGAAAATGTAAAAATTTTGGCGTTTGGCTTTGTTGCAGTTGTTTTATCTCACCCTGTGTATGATCAGCATTAAATTCAGTGTCGATTTAGCCAAGTCAGTATCTCTACTATCTGCCTGTGTATGGAAATTATTGAAGTATAAATGGCTCCGAATGTAGATTTTATATCAAATATTTTATGGCGGAAAGGTTTCTATTTTTGAAGGAACCAAAAAACACATTTTCAACCAAATCAACTGAAAAATAGGGTAAAATTTTGTTCAACCGAATTATGTCTTCTGTTCTATAAAGGTAGACACATTCCAATATACCCATATTTTTTATTACTTGACCCCAAATACAAATATCAACCCGTCTCCCCGTCGTAAAAATAATCTATTTATATTGCATTTCTCTTTAACCATTTCATGCCATTTTAACTCTTTCACTTTTGCTCTGCAGAACAATTTTGGGGCTTTAAGACATTGGACTGGATACTATGTGGGAAAATGTGAATATTTCTTTCACTTTGCTGCTGCTGCTTTTGCTTTTGTTTTTGTAAAGAGATTTATTTTTAACTGCCCACCAGCCCCACCACCATTCTCATCCACCATCCGCCGCCTTTAATGGCATTCTTCGGAGGTATATATTTTTTATATTTATCGCATAATTAAATCGTAAACTCACTTCATTGTTGGCGCCATAACACTTTCGTATTCCTGCCTCGATGCATCCTGTAATAAAGTGAGGACAGGGTGTAGAACAGCTGCCAGCACTTCGCCATTGCTAATTTCCGATTGTAACATGGGCCATAGGTTCTGCCACCACAATTTCTGCATGGGTTAGCGAACGGAATCGCACCAAGGCAAGAGGAATGAGATACAAAAAGAGTGTTGAGAAAGAAAAAAAAAACATTAAATATCAAAAACATGAAATATTTAACAACAAATGGGTGGAGTAATGAAATAAGAAAAGTAACGTTTTTTAAGACATTGAGATGGGGAGATGGGTGGTGGGGTGATTGTGTTTTGGCATATCTGTGTGTAAGTGTGTTTGTAAACAGCTGTGTGTTGTTGGCCCATATTTTTTGTATTTTTACCCAACGGCTGTCTTGTCAGTTACGTCTTTAACAGGTATTACAGTTTAAAAGAATCAAAAACACATAATAAAAATTAAGCTAGGGCGGAAATAAAAAAGGTCCCTTGTTGGCGACAGCGTGTGGGTCGGCTGTTAGCGTGTTCTTAGGAATTAGTAGGAGAAAAATTCGGCTGTGTGGAATTTGTAAGTCTTGTAGAAAGGTATAGTATGTACTGGGGTTTGAATCGAAATCAGACTCTTCTGTTATGATTTGATCAAAAACTCCTGGGCTAAAGGGATGATATGTTGATATGTTGATGATTTAGAGTTCAAGCTTAGCCTAATGTGAGATAAAATCTAGATAAAATAATTAAAAAAGTATCAGTAGATTTTTCCGACAGATATCTACCTTCAGGCAATGTTCGTTTATTTAAGTATATATTTTGACATGCTTGACTTGGAGCGGATTCGAAAGAGTTGGCCAATATTGTCCATTTTGTATCAGGCATAAGTCTGATATAAATGTTACAACGTGGCAGATTTGGACTATATCGACTACATGCTTCACATTATATGAGATATATGATATTTTTTACAAAACGTTGAAAATTAACCTTTTTCTGAAGGAGGTGCCAGAAAGGGTGGACCAATCGATATCTGCCACACCAGGTCTCGAGTTAGTAAAAATTTTGAGATGTGTGAAATTTGAAGAGAATCAGAAGTTTATTTCGCATTTTATGAGCGTTTTTGTTATTCAAAATGTTTACCCTTGTGTAGCGGGTAGGTACCAGAAGAAGTGTAAACCACAGAAAAAACATGGTAAATAGCCCATTTGCGACATTTTAAAGGAATTCTTGTAGCGGATGAAAGAAAGAAAGAAATTCGAAGGAGCTTTCAGAAGACTTCCAACAAATACTCTATTGCGAGGGTATTTTTTTGAAGGTCAGTTACTGGGACAGTATATTACAAATATTGTTTTTTTGGGAAAATTATACAAAATTATCATGGAGTTTCAAAAAGATTTGTATTAAAATAGAAGACCATTAGACGGTCTTTTACTGACAAAATACCCCTCTTTTATTGACGGCAAAATTTTTAAGACACTCAACTATAAGGAGACTTTCTATACATCTTCGATTGGTTGAAGAATTTCTGAAAGGGCCACGATTGAATCACAAATTTCCGAATGAATTCTTTAACCAAAAAGGCCTTCTGTTCGAAAAAGTTCTTTTAATGTTCCCTTGAAGAATTTTTTTATATGGCTTCTAGGGACAGACGACCTTTTTGTAAGAAATCTTTTATTCAAACCTTATTAGGTTCCTCAATATGTTCTTCAGTGTACATATCAATTACATTAAATGGTTTTCTGTTGGCAGAAGTCTTGTAAAGTTATTTTTTACCAACAGAAGATATATCAAAGCTCTTCTGTGTATAGATAGCTAAAGCTTTAAACAAATTCAGATTTAGTACACTCAAGTACAAATTTTCATAACTATTTACAACTTATTTTCAAATTTCAGGATTCAAACTTTACCGGTTTATCCAAAATGTAAATTGTACCAAATTTAGTACCATATAGTGCACATAAGTACGCGTTTCCAAAACTACATACATACCTCAGTCTTAGAATGCAATAGTAATCATATTTCTAAATTTCAGAATTCCTGCTGTACAAGTGAGAAGAGGAACCAAACACTCTGTGTTGAGATCAGTTCCAAATCTCACTCCTGAGAAATAAAACACAACCGCTCGTTTGGGTTGCTGATTTAAATCTGACTTTATTTTAATAATATTGTTCTTAACTGCTACAAAAACTAATCTAAATTAACCTACTCGCAGCCACACAATTGTTCTTATCTATTTTTAGATTTAAAAAAAGGAACATAACATGGCTGCTTGTCCCTTCATTCAAGTGATCTTGGCTACCTACTGGCGCATCAATATTTGTGTGTGTGTGTCATGGACTTTATTATTTACACATTACCATATGCGACAGCGCACAAGATCACTGAATTGTACACATGTGATATTTTATGACTGCTGGGAAACTGATAATGTTGAAATATTTCTTTTTAATTGTTAGATTTTCCCAGCACCTCAAACGCACACAAAAGGATGTACAAAGTATTTTGTACACCTGCTCTATCGGTTTAAAATTTAAATTGTACCAAATTGAGTACCATTTTGTACTTTTCGAGCACAGAAGTACAAATTTCGAAAACTTCCTCCATATCCTAATCCTACTTTCCGCCAGTAATGTTGATTTCAAATTTCAAGATTCCAACTCCATCCGTTTCTTTAAATTCAATTTGTACTAAATTTAATACCGTTTAGTACTTTTCGCATACATGAGTACACACTTCCAAAACTTCCTCCTTGCATCAATTCTACATTCAAAATTTCAAATTTTTAGCTCTAACCATTCACATGATACAAAATAGTATCAAATATAGTACGTTTTAGTACATTTCGTATACTTATAGTACGAATTTCCAAAAACTCTGTGGTACATCTATCCATCAAGGATCCTCATTCGAAATTTAAGAGTTCTAGCTCTACTGCTTCCTCAAATACAATAGGGTTCCATATTTAGTACCTTTTTTATTATTTTCGTAACGATTTTCCAAGAATGACCCCCATCCAAAAAAATCCCGACCTATCTATCCTATTTTTTGCGAATTCCTTTAAAATGTCGGGCATTTACCAGTTTTTTACAAAGGTAGCCAGTCTTCCGAAACCATTTCGGGGGAGACACTAACCGTCGAAAAAAATGGGGGCTATACTAAGACTTGGAGCTGAATAAGTAATTTTTTTGGATAAGTAATTTTGACGCAATTCCGGTAAATAATGTGGCGAAAATCCTGGAAATACCGAATATCTCGGGGTAGCGTTGTATGGGTGCTATACTTAAACGTAGACCTATATAGACAATTCTCTTTCAGGGGGTTAAGTATTCAGGAGGAACATCTTGTGTAGATTTTGAGCCAATTCCATTGACAAATTTGGGTAAAATCATCGAAATACCGAATATCGGGAGACACTATTGTATGGGGGATATACGATATCGTGAACCAATACAGACAATTCTTTTACAGTCACGAGGAACTCCTTGTGTAGAATTTCAGAAAATTCCATTAAAAAATGTGGCTAACATTATCAAAATTCCGAATATCGCGGTGCCGTTATATGGGGGCTATATCTTGGACCGAACTTGAGCTGCCTGCAGACAAAAGACACATTGGTTCAAAAATTTAACTTCCTATCTTTATTTGTTTTGACACTGGCGTGATTACAACAGACGAACGAACGGACTGCAGGGCTACATTGTCTTAGAATTTTACGCTGATCGATAATAAATATATATTTTGTTGGGTGTAAATTATTATTTCGATGACTTATATGATAAGTTATACTATATATGGTGGAGGGTATAAAAAGATCTTCTCTAAGCCAAAGAGATTTCAAAGATTTTTTTTATTTTTTCTTCTAATAAAAGACATTCTAGAGCTTTTCAAGAAGCCCTACAATCTTTTTAGTCATATAATCTTTCTGAAAAAAAAAAAATGTTTTTTTATTGACAAAAAGTTATTTAAAGCACTTCTATTGTCAGAAGGGCACCTAAGTTTCTTCTACTGACAAAAAACCTTTAAAAGCTCTTCTGTTAATAGAACACCTTCAAAAGCTTCTATATTGACAGACAAGGCCCCGTTTATGGCTAGTCTTCTAATGGTCCTTCCCATAAGAAGACCTGTTAAAGCTCTTGTATTGGTAGTACACCTTCAGAAACTTTTTTGGTTATGGAAGGCCACCAAGAGCTCTTTCATTACCAAAATATCTTCCAAAGCTCTTCAATAGACGGAAACCTTTCCAAAGGTCACCTCTTGAAAGAAAAGTTCTTATAGGTTTCTATTGGTTTTCTAAAAGACTTTGAAAGGTTAAAGTCCTTCGAAAGTTATAATCTGCTTCAATAACTTTCCCTATGTAGCGTACGGACTCCCAGGTATTTCAAAACCAAACACCAGTGATGTGAAAATAAACGTTTAATAGCAACAAAACGGAATTTTATGGCTTAAAAAAAGCAAACATCCCAAGGAAGCCTTTGTTGTTGCTGGATTGTTCGTAATTTAGGAACGTTACACAAATTTACACCATCCGTTCGTTCATTGGGTCGTTTAAACATTCATTCACAAAAAAAGAAGGGAAAATCCCCAGCCATTTGTGGGTGAGTTGATTGTTTGTGGCTGCAGCAGCGGCACCAGGTGTTGTTTGTTTGTGCTACTGCTTTTTTCACATCATTGTTGTTGTTGTTGCTGCTGCTGTTGTTATTATTATTGTTTTAATATCCTGTTGTTACAAAATTAAATCCTTTTTACGATGCCGATGTGTACATTGTGGCCGGAAAGGACTATGGGATTCGTTTTGTTTTGTTTGAATTTTTTGCATTGAGTGTTTTTTTTGTTTTTTCTTTGTCAGAAGCAATAAGTGTTGTTTGCTTTTGTATCAGTGTTTTTGTAGGTGTATTTGTGTGTGTGTGTGTGTGTGGCCATGTATTTGTGGGGCAAAAGGGATATCCTTTGTTTCTGCACAAAACATTTGTTGCTCCACTTACCTTTGGTATCAGCGGCATACTTTCCATTAAGGTAACTTTATAGAATTGGGTCTTCTGCGATGTATCCTTCATGTTAACCACATCGAGAAACTTGAGGGCATTTACCGCAGGATCGCTGCAAATGAAAGTTAAGGTTGCTTGTTGAAATGAAATGAAGCCGACAGACGACACACAATCAAATAAATATTTAAAAAGCATAATTTGACAATGTGTCCGCATCACGACCAAGAGACCATAAAATACTCTGCTTGCATAGCCAAAGTCCTTCGGCCTTTGGCGCCATTCAAGGACAACAAATCAACATAAATAAATAAATAAATAAATAAGTGCAGGACGAGAATGGAAGGCGCACTAAAAACTGTGACAGCTTAAATCACAATAATAACGAATTTGCGAAGAGTTTCCTTTGAACAGAGACAGGCTTTTAGGAAAAAACGCCATAAATAATGAAAACGTTGAAACGGAAAAGCGAATTTGACATATTTTTCTGTCAGCTAAGTGGGTGACAATGTCTCCATGAAATGGATGGAAAATTTTATACATATTTTATTTACATAAATATATTTTCTTCAGTTTGTTCGGGAAGGCAGAGTTGTCGGAGTTTCTTTCTTGTTTTTCAAATCAGAATTTAAGTGGGTGTTATAAGGGGAGGGTGTACTTTTTAAGGGGAACAAATACGTAAAGCCGCTAAAAAAAGTCAAAAGTGTTAGCATAAACAGATGGAGACTTAAGGACGTTTAAGGACCCTTAGATTGAAGATCTTTAACTTGTTTCCTAAAAATAGAAGTAGAACTTTAGAAGGTCTTCTATAGACAGAAGAAGGCTTTCAACTGGTCTTCTGTAGACACAAGACTTTTAACAGGCCTGCTATAGACAGAACACCTTCTACAGGTCTTCTATAGACAGAACACCTTCTACAGGTCTTCTATAGACAGAAGACCTAAAGGTCTTCTATAGACAGAAGACCTAAAGGTCTTCTATAGACCGAGGACCTTCTACAGGTCTTCTATAGACCGAAGACCTTCTACAGGTCTTATATAGACCGAGGACCTTCTACAGGTCTTCTATAGACCGAAGACTTTCTACAAGTCTTCTATAGACCGAAGACCTTTTACAGGTCTCTATAGACCGAAGATCTTCTACAGGTCTTCTATAGACAAAAGATCTTCCACAGGTCTTCCAAAGACAAAAGACCTTCTACAGGTCTTCAATAGATCGGGGACCTTCTTCTATAGACCGAAGACCTTTTACAGGTCTCTATAGACCGGAGATCTTCTACAGGTCTTCTATAGACAAAAGACATTCTACAGGTCTTCTATAGACAGAAGATCTTCTACAGGTCTTCTATAGCCGGAAACTATCTACAAGCCTTCTATACACAGAGGACCTTCTTCAGGATCGATAAAAAGAAGACCTTTTACAGGTCTTCTATAGACCGAAGACCTTCTACAAGTCTTCTATAGACCGAATACCTTTTACAGGTGTCTATAGACCGAAGATCTTCTATTGAGAAAAGATCTTCCACAGGTCTTCCATAGACAAAAGACCTTCCACAGGTCTTCTATAGATCAGGGACCTTCTACAGGTCTTCTATAGACCGAGGACCTTTTACAGGTCTTTTATTGACCGAGGACCTTCTACAGGTTTTCTATTGACCGAGGACCATCTACAGGCTTTCTATTGACCGATGACCTTCTACAGGTCTTCTATAGACCGAAGACCTTCTACAAGTGTTCTATAGACCGAAGACCTTTTACAGGTCTATATAGACCCAAGATCTTCTATAGACAAAATACCATCCACATGTCTTCTATAGACAGAAGACCTTCTACAGGTCTTCTATAGCCAGAAGACCATCTACAGGTCTTCTATAGCCAGAAAACCTTCTACAGGTCTTCTATAGCCAGAAGACCTTTTACAGGTCTTTTATAGCCAGAAGACCTTTTACAGGTCTTCTATATCCAGAAGACCTTTTACAGGTTTTCTATAGCCAGAAGACCTTTTACAGGTCTTCTATAGACAGAAGACCTTCTACAGGTCTTCTATAGACAAAATACCTTCTACAGGTCTTTTGTAGCCAGAAGACCTTTTACAGGTCTTATGTAGCCAGAAGACCTTCTACAGGCTTATGTAGCCAGAAGACCTTTTAAAGACCTCATTTAAAAGAACTTTTATAGACAGAAGACCTTTAACAGGTTTTCTATAACCAGAATAACTTTGATAGGTCTAATAACTTTGATAGGTCTTCTATAGCCAGAAGACCTTCTACATGTCTTCTATAGACAGAAAACCGTACACCTTCTTTAGGTCTTTTATAGATCGAAGTCCTTTTACGGGTAGACAGAAGGCCTTTGAATACCTTCTACAGTTTTTTTTGTAGAAAGAAGACCTTCAACAGGTCTCCTACCGAAAGAACCTTTAACGGGTCTTCTATAGGTAGAAGAACTTTGACAAGTCTTCGATAGGCAGAAGTCTTTTAGCAAGTTTTCTGTAGACAGAAGACCTTTAACAGATTTCTTTTAGGTATAACAGGTTTATGTAACTCTTTAATACTTCTTCTATAGACAGAAGACCTTCTACAGGTCTTCTACAGACAGAATACCTCTAACAATTCTTCTAAGGAAAGAAGGTTTTTAACAGGTCCTTTATAGTCAAAAGTTAACAGTTCTTCTATATACTGATGACCTTTAACCGGCCTTCTCTTGATAATAGTCCTTTAATGATTCTCAGATTTTTCCTTACTGATTTAAATTTCATCCTCCCACCTTCTACATCTGCTGCTTCCACTCTTCACCGGAAATGACGCTGTCACACATGTCCTGCTATGGAAAACTCATTAAATTAATATCATGTCCTCATTAGTGAGTGACCGACCAACTTAGCGCCAGTCACCTTGTCGGTATATCAACGTTAAACAACAAATCAGTTGAGAGTATTTTATTCTATTTTAGTTTTTTTTCCAACTGTCAATTGGGTTGTTGAAGGTCAATGCTACTTTTCTACGAAGTGAGATTGGCACAATGCCAGCTGACATTAACAACAAATGCTAGGAAAAGTTTCCGGAAACGGAAATGCTAAAGAGAATAGCTTTCACAATGCTTTCTTATTTAGTGAACAATAGATAAATGTCTAGCTGTCGGTTATATTAGAGTTGTAGTTGAGCGTATGTATGTGTGTGTGTGTGTGTGTGCAAGTGTTCTGATGTTTGTTAGGTATTGAGTAACAAGAAGCTTGTTAGCAGTTTAGAAGTATTGCATTACCGAAGTGATGTTTTATGAGTAGGGAAGGTTCACTGAGAGAAACAATATATTTTCTTGTAAATTTACAAGCTGGCCGGGTGGACATGGCCGTAATATTTCCTATGAAAGTGTGTAATGAAAACTTTTGTAAAGGAAAGAAAACTTCAAATTAATTTTTTAAGGAAATAAATTTAGTTTTATATCTCATTCGAAAAGAATTCAAACCAAGGTAATTAATTTTATTTCCAAATATATGTTACCAACAAATGCACGGAGTCAATGTGCTCTGAATCATAGTGCGGTTTAGGGCATAAACATTTTCTAAAATGTTGGTTTTGAATGAGATTTAAGCTTAAACAAATAAAAAAAGCCGTCATTTCGGGCGGTCCGAACTTTGAATACTCTCCACTATTTGGAACGAATTTGCAATTCTCAAAAATTCCAATTCAAAAATTCTCTTAAAAATACCGAATGTAGCTGTTATATTAGGGTCAGTACGACGACATGGAACTGCATAGATAACCTTTTTCATAAGCCATTACAATATTCAAATGCGAAACTTAAAAAAAAAAAATCGCTGAATAATGTAGCTAAAGTCATCAAAATATCGAATATAGGGAGGTATCGTTATATGGGGGCTATACGAAGACGTGGAGCTGCACAGACAATTTTCTGTCTTAGGCTGTAGTATCCACAACGACCTTCAAATATCAAATTTGAAAGATTTACGGTAAATAATGTCCCTAAAATCATCAAAATACCGAATATCGGGAGTTACCGTTATATGGGGGATATACAAAGACGTGGACCTGCAAAGACAATTTTCTGTCATAGGCTGTAGCATCCATTACGAAGATAAAATATGAAATTTGAAACAATTCCGGTGAATAATGTCGCTAAAATCACGAAGTATCGAATATCGGGGGGTACCGTTGTATGGGGGCTATGCGAAGTCGGGGAGGCTATACCAAAACGTGGACCTACATGGCCCATTTTCAATACCAAAAGTCCTTGTGACATAAAATACATTTAAGTAAAATTTTATCAATCTACTTAATTTCGTTCGGAAGCTAGAGTGATTTCCACAGACTGACAGACGGACGGACGTCGCTAAATCGACATGGCTGATCAAGAATATATACATATACTTTGTGGGGTCTAAAATTTAAATTTCGTGGTGTTACAAAAGGGATGACAAACTTAATTTACCCTCCATACTATGGTAGAGGGTATAAAATCTACCACCATCCCATTAAAGGTACAAAGAGAGCTTATCTCTATTTTCGCATCGCAGCTAACTTTACGATAAGGTTATTGTTTTCCTATAGGAAAATGTACGACAATAGCTAATGATATTGTTATTGTGTGTGTGTGTGCGCGTGTGAAAAGGAAAAGTTAAGTGTGTATTATGCTCGTAACCGGAAACGGAAATGGCACAAGAGCAGCTATGAGGACTTTTGTTATTCCAACATTCATTCAAGACAAATAAACACTGACTGCTGACTATCAAATGGAGAAAGGTGCGGATGCTTGAGTGAGCGTGTGTTTGGTTGATGTTAACACTTTGTTTAACAAGCATCTTATTGGCACTTCGTTGGTATTAGTCTTGTATGATTTGTAATCCATAGATACAATGTCTTCTTTACAAGAGTTATGGAAGGGATGTAGGTAGAAGGTATCTACCTGGCTTTTTTTTTCAATTAAATCTTTCTAAGAAAAATTGACCCATCGAACATTGCCTTTTTTCCAAAGTTTAAAGTCGCCTATGCATAGGCAACCAAAAATAGATTGCATATTTCGGAGACATCCCAGAGGGTCCTACTTTAATTAAGGCCCAACGAACATCTTCACCTAAGAACAATATAAATAAAAATAAGAAGATAATTATATGAAAATAAAATAAAATAAAATAAATTTCTCTTTGTTTTTGCTTAAAAGAAAATAAGTAAAAAATATTCTCATCCCCAATAATATATTTTTTTTAAATGTAAAGGAAACAATGTATGATAATTTTTATTTAACTAAATTTAGATTATATTTGAAAAATATTGATAAATTTTTACTTACCTTCACATCCACAAAAAAAAAAAAATAAATAAATAAATAAAAAAATAAATAAATAAATAAATAAAATAAAAAACTAAATAATAATTAAAATAAAAAAATGCAATATCGTCATGAAAAATGCAAATTTTTTCTATAAAAGAGCCGTTTGATTTTTCTTTAATAAAAAGGGTGTTACTTTATTCCTTAACTTTTTTATAGAAACTCAGATTTAACGAAAGTATACTTTCAATAGAGATATCTCATTTTTTTTATAGAAAAAGAGTCCCGAAAAATGACAAAACGAAAATAGTCGCCCCAACGAAAATTATTTTTTTTTTATAGAAAAACGCTATAGAAAGAAGTTGTCAAGAGGAGACCCCCGTTTTTTTTTTCTTAGAAAAAAAATCATGTTTAGAAACCGAGTTTTTTCTAGGACAAGTAGGCGTCCTAAGACTCCAATATTTTTCTACATAGAAAATCGATTTGATGAGATTCCGATTACCATGATTTTGTCTATAGAAAGAAGTTTTCCAGAAGAGATTCCAATTTTTTTTTTTAAGAAAAAAAATTAGGATTAGAAACCAATGTTTTTTCTAAAGAAAATTAGGGTTCCTCTAATATTTTTCTATAGACAAAAAGTCGATTTCATGATATTCCGATTATGTAGAAATTCAAGTCGTACTAACACGGTACGACTTGAATTTCTATATAATCGGAGATTTAACATTTCATAAAGCGAATTTCGCCACCATGAGAAAAGTCGTCAATTCTTTTCTATAGAAAACTGGCTGCCCAAGTCGTTCTCTGAGATTGTAATTTTTCTACGAAAAAAAATCTTGAGTGACATAATTTTTTCTCTTGAAAAATATACGTCCTGATGAGGTTTCCAAAAAATTATCCAGGTTTTTTTTATAGAAAAATGTCTTCTACGATTTATTTTCTTTATTCCAAATCAGACGAGTTGATATGAGTTGTCCTGATGCGACTCCAATGTTTTTAAAGAAAAAAGTGGTCCTGATGAAACTCTGATGTTTTTCCGTAATCAACAAAGTCGTGCTGAAAAAAACTAAAAAATCGTCCTAAGGGAATCTAATTTTTTCCATAAAAAAGTTGTCCTGATGTGGTTCCAATATTTATCGTCGAAGAATAAACTTTGAACTTGTTATTATAGGTGAGTCAATCTAGTTCGATCGAACGAACTAGTTCCCTAGACTTCAGTCGTTTGGAGACTCTGCGTATGAGTGATGTGAATTTTATGAGATCACACATACGTTTATGAACTAAGAACTAGATTGACACAACTCCGCTTGATATTGAAGACCTATGACAGTACTACAGACAGTCTTCTATCTAGGGAATACTTTTAAAGCTTATTTATAGAAGTTATATGGAGAGAAGATTACATATTAAAGTTTTTCTATCTGGCCAATAGCGGTAGATCTTCTTTAAACAATAACTTTTATTTGAAGAAAGTTTGTAGCAGGTGTTTAACCCACAGAATAGCTAAACCAAAAGACTTATATGGATAGTGGCACTTAGATATAAAATTAAATTTTTTACTGCTAACTTTAAAGTATCTTCAGTTAGGTCTACAATTTAACCATGAATCGTCTTATAAATGAATAACGCTTGCAAATTATTGAATTCGATTCATCAAACTATATTTCATGCATTTTTAAAAATTTTATGTGTTGTTTCTTACTCTTAAAAAATCATTCGTTATGTGAATAGGTCTGTTAGGACATTTGAAGAGATTTCTTTCCTCGCCGGTCTCCTCTATATATGACCTATTGAATGTTTTCTATCTTTAGAGTACACATAGCAGATCATCTATCAGTGTATAATCTCTTGTGTACATGGAAGACCTCCAGAGGAGATTATATTATAGAAATAACTGAAGAAGGCTTCTACCAATAAAATAACATTTTAAATGTCTCTAAAGACTGGTAAAGAGTATTTTAAATAAACGACCTTTAGAAAGCCATTTATCTATCGATAGAAGTAGTTTAAAACGTCCATAGAAGAACTCTACAAAGTCTTCTCTACAAATGACATCTATCCAATGTCTTATATATATAATGTCATATATTTCTTATTCTCGATTATTTTATTGCGTTTGACTTTGTTGCAGTTTTATTGTGATAATTTTTGAAAAATGTCGAAATGTGCGTGAGGTATCAGATATAGCGTACCGAACTATTCCATTTCATCTAATACTATTAAAAAATATTGGATCTCATCAAGTTTGAATAGAATAGCTGACTTGTTTTGCAAGTTATAAGAGATATAAGTATTTAAAATTGTGACCCTTTGTGGGGCTGGTATCGGAAGAGGAATGCCGATATCTATCATCTTCAGGCCAGATATTGTGTAAATAAAAATATTGGGTTGGTTGGTGTGAAATTTTAAGACAATCGGACTCTTGTTTCAAGTTTTATGAGAGTAAGAATTATTCGAAATTTTGACCCTTTGTGGGGGTGGTACTTGATGGAGTAAGCACCTGCCATAGCACTGGTAAAAATATTGGGATGTGATAAATTTGCACAAAATTCAATGATCCTTTCTCTTTCTACGAGGTGAGTTATTTTCTTTGAAAATTTGTACTCCCTTATCGTACGCACCAGCCAGCCAGGTAGACAGACGGACGGACATCTCTAGATGTCCTGAGACGGATTTGATCCAAAGACACTTAGGGTATAAAACCGATAGTTCGATGAGGCACGTTTTTGCCGTATCAAATAATATATACCCTCTGTAGTCATATGACTGAGGGTATAAAAACAGGACAAAGTTCACACAAGTGTAAGCTCCCACGTACGATCAGCACGTTAAATACTCACAAGCCTTCATCATTGGAAGGGCATATCCAAATATGTCTAAACTATATTTATTGAATTCCATATTTTTTAGTATTTGAGAATAATAGGTCGTATATGATACGTACATACAGAAAGGTTATATTGTATGTATAGATATGTGTCATAATGGTGGAGGTAACCGTACGGTCGCCTAGTAAAAATTGATTGCAGAATGACAGGAAAATACTACGTAAAGATTTTGAGTGAAAATATCGAAGAAAGTGCACGAGAAATGCAATTGGGATCGTTTATTTTTCAGCAGGATAACGATCCTAAACATACTAGCCGAACGGCAAAACAATTTTTTCAAGAAAAATCTATGGAAGTTATGGAATGGCCCCCTCAGAGCCCAGATCTTAACCCCATCGAACATCTATGGGCCATTTTAGATACCAAAATACCGATGGAATCGCGAACAAACGTTACAACATTCTGGGAAGCAATGCAAAGAGAATGGAAAAAAATTCCGAGTAACACTTTAAAAAATTTGGTCCGAAGTAAGCCAAAACGGCTTAAAGCAGTGATAGACAACAAAGGTCGAGCGACAAAGTACTAAATAATATTAAAATATATTTTTATTAAAACAAAAAATGAATTTGCACTTTATTTTGTCTAACTCTAATACGAGGTGAAATTATGTTTTTATGTTTTTTCTGTTTCTGAATGAACTACCAAAAATCGTTTTATATTTTTTATATACTATACACTATGACTTAAATAAATGTGGTTTAATTTGAATTTATAAAAAAACCAAAAAAAATTTTTCATGTACTAAAATATTTTTTCGTCTTTTGCACTTTATTTTGTCCGATAGTGTATATCGGCAAATAGCCTGATACATTATAATAAGCTTTGGTAAAATTTTTCAAAATTCCGGAACTTGTAAAAGTCCTTTTCTCAACAGGAATCCTTTTAATTACCATTGATTCAATAACAACAGTCGCCTATAGGATTTCGGTAGAAAATAGTCCTTCTAGTAAATTCCATTCAGCTGGTTTTGTGAAGCGCTCAATTATTGTTACCCTTTCTTTTTCTCAGTAACTGTAATCATTCTCTGTAACATCCTTATTTACTATTCCATCTCAACATCCATTTATCTTATTTTAAATTTTTTTCTCTACACAAAAAAACAACTAAATCTCAATTTCCTAATTAGATTTTCCTTTCTGATTCAGATTTTAAAAAATTTAATATTTTCTTAATTTCATTTACAGATTTCTTAATTACGAGCACGGAGGGAGAAATAGTTCAGTTGAATATTCATAAAGGTAGGTACGTGTGTGTACGTGCGCATCTTTATATATGTGTATGTGTGTGTGTCTATTTTTTACTCCTGTTCCAATTATCCTATGTTGTTGATATTATACTATGAATCTATGTTCGTTTGTATGCATATACCTATGTATGTATGTATGTATGTATGTATGTATGGATGTGATTACTTACACAAAGTATTTAATCAACTGCAAAAGCTGAGCTGTCGGTCGGGCTGTTGGATCTCGATTCACCAGACGAGATGTGGCTTCCTGTAATGGCACCGGTACTCGGGGCAACATTTTTTGTACGTTTTCATCCAGCTGCGTGTTATTGAATTAGAAATTAACAATGACATGAAGAGAAAAGAAGAAGAAGATGAGGATGAAAAAAAAAAAACACATGAAGCAAAAAAAGAAGAACCATAAAAAATTAGTCCTTGGCCAGGGAAGAGTTAGTGGAGCAAACAGGTAATATAAAAAACAAGAACATTGAACAACTTTTGCAAAACACAACCTGGACAATGTTGCCGTTGTGGATTTTTTTTTGGTATTTTCGATAATAAAAATAAAAAAATTGTTTATTATTTAGGTATTGTTTGCAAAATATTAAGAACACTTCAAGTTTGAAAAAATGTAAAAAAAATAATTATCAAAAAAACACTACTTAATACCACCCCTGTAAATCCCACGCCAATATTTAATTCCGATTCGCTTAATTAAAAAGTTGTATCATTTTGTACCTTTTAGTACTTTTCGGAACCTTAAAGTACTTTTTTCCAAAAATCTCCGTATCTTAAATCTCTACATGGTTGGTGATCCTCATGAAAAAGTACAATTTTTCAAAAATGCCGCCTTACCTTAACCAAAAGTAACCTTTAAGCAAAATTCCAAATTCTAGTTTTCAACAAACACTCAATAAAAATGTTTTCCTGTTCTCTATCTTTTAGTACTTTTTATACCCTCCACCATACTATGGAGGGTATATTAACTTTGTCATTCCATTTGTAACTCCTCGAAATACTCATGTCAGACCCAACAAAGTATATATATTCTTGACCAGCGTAAAATAAGTCGATTTAGCCATGTCCGTCTGTCTGTCCGTCTGTCTGTTGTAATCACGCTATCGTTCGAACGAATTAAGATAGAAGGCTAAAATTTTGCACACGTGTTTATTTTTCCAGTAGGCAGGTTAAGTTCGTAAATGGACCATACAGGTCCACGTTTTCATATAGCCCCCATATATAAGTACCTCTCGATATTCGGTATTTTGATGATTTTAGCAACATTATTCACCGGAATTGTTTCAAATTTGGTATTTGAAGTTCGAAATAGATACTACACCCTATGACAGAAAATTATCTGTGCAGGTCCACGTCTTCCTATAGCCCCCATACAACGGTACCTCCCGGTATTCGGTATTTTTATGATTTTAGCGACATTGTTTATCGGAATTGTTTCAAATTTAGTATTTGAAGTTCGAAATGGATACTACAGCCTGAAACAGAAAATTGTCTGTGCAGCTCTACGTCTTCGTATAGCCCCCATATAACGGTACCTCCCGATATTCGGTATTTTTATGATTTTAGCGACATTGTTTATCGGAATTGTTTCAAATTTAGTATTTGAAGTTCGAAATGGATACTACAGCCTGAAACAGAAAATTGTCTGTGCAGCTCTACGTCTTCGTATAGCCCCCATATAACGGTACCTCCCGATATTCGGTATTTTGATGCTTTTAGCGACATTATTAACCGGAATTGTTTCAAATTTGTTATTTGAGATTCGTAATGGATACTACAGACTGAGACAGAAAATTGTATGTGCAGGTCCACGTCTTCGTATAGCCCCCATATAACGGTACCTCCCGATATTCGGCATTTTGATGATTTTAGCGACATTATTCACCAGAGTTGTTTCAAATTTGTTATTTGAGATTCGTAATGGATACTACAGCCTATGACAAAAAATTGTATTTGCAGGTCCATGTCTTTGTATAGCCTGAATGTAATGGTACCTCTCTATATACGATATTTTGATGACTTTAGCTACATTATTCACCGTATATTTCAAGTATAGATCCCAATATAACGTCTATATTCGGTATTTAAAAAATTTTAACAGAATTTGTTAGGGACTTTAGTTTTTGAAAAATTCCAAATTCGTGCCAATTGGTGGAGGGTATTCAAAGTTCGGTCCGGCCGAACTTACTGCTTTTTAACTTGTTTTACCAGTAATATAATAATGTTCAAAAATCCCGTAATATATTTCCGAACCAAAATTTCAATGTTATAGCTCCTATCGTTGACTAGTAACGCTACAACATCATTTTGTACCCCTTTAGTACTTTTTGTACCATTAATAGACGAAGAATGTTCAAAAATCCCGCATTATTTCTCGCACCCAAAATTTAAGTGTTATAGCTCCTAACGATGACCACTAATAATTTTGTACCAGTTTGTATCTTTTTAGTTCTTTTTGTGCCATTTTTGAAAGAATGTTCAAAAATCCCTAATTATTTCTTCGCACCAAAAATTTCATGTTCTAGCTCCTAACGATGACCACTAATAATGTTGTACCATTTTGTACGCCTTTAGTCCTTTTTGTACCACTAATGAAAACATGTTTTAAAATCCCGCATTATTTCTCCGAACCAAAATTTCAATGTTCTAGCTCCTAACGATGACTAATAATAATGTTGTACCATTTTGTACCCTTTATGTACTTTTTGTACCATAAATGGAAGAATGTTTAAAAACCCCGCATTATATCTCCGAACCAAAATTTCCATGTTCCATCTCCTAACGATGACGGTGGTAATGTTGTACCATTTTGTACACTTTTAGTACTTTTTGTACCATAAATGGAAGAATGTTGAAAAATCCCGCATTATTTCTCCGAACAAAAATTTTAATGAGTTTTGCCTTGTTAATGTTCTAGCTCCTAATTATGACTAGGAGTAATGTTGTACCATTTAGTACCCTTTTAGTATATTTTGTATCATAAATGGACGAATGTTAAAAAATTCCGCATTATTTCTTCGAACCAAAATGTTAAGGTTTTAGCTCCTAACGATGGATCGTAGTAATCTTGTACCATTTTGTACCCTTTTAGTACTTTTTTATCTTAAATGGAAGAATGTTCAAAAATCCTGCATTATTTCTTCTAATGGCGACGACTCTCAGTATTAAATGTAGCTCAATGTAAATACCTTACAATTTTGTAAATTTTAGTACATATAACTTTGATGTACTATTGTGTACCATTTAATACTTTTTATTTCTTTAAAATCCGAATGTCTACAAATTCCACATTATTTCTCCCTCATATACCTCAATACCAATGCCTTACTATTTTGTACCTTTTACTACTTATCGTACCCTTAAAAAGGAATTTCCAGTTTTTTTCCAGTTTCACCCTTCTGCACAAAAAGTGACCCTTATGCAAAATTTAAAAATTTCAGCTCTTATGAATCGTTCAATTGCAAACCCGTAAGATTTTGTACCCTAAAAGTGCAAAGTACCATTCCCCTATGAAAAATGTAAACGTTCTACATCTTATCTATGATAAATAATAATATTGTATAGTTTGTTACTTTTAGCACCCTTAAGGTATAAATTTTGAAATAACCCGTCTAATGTCATCCAAGAGTTACCCTCGTACAAAATTCAAGCTTTTACCAATCGCTCAGTACCAGGGGCTTACTAATATGTAGCTTTTAATACTCGCTGTACTCGTACTCGCTAATCGTACACATTTCTTTATTTCACCCTAGTACGAATGGTGGATCCCATACAACATTTTGACTATGTAGCTGTAATAAATTGTAATAAGGGTCCAAGAGTGACCCTCGCACCTAAAGTACGAATTTCTTTATTTCACCCCAGTACATGGAAGGTGTCTCCTAACAAAATTTTTAATGTGTAGCATTTATAAATTATAATAAGGGTACGAAATGTACTAAGATGTATAAATGCTAGTATATTTCGTACCCTTAAAGTACAAATGTCCGAAAAATTCCCCTTATTTCTCCCAAGGCTGACTGACCCTTATACAATATATCATTATCCCATAAGAAAGTGAAAAGTGTTATGTCTTACCTATGATAAACAGTGATATTTTACAATTTGTAACTTTTAGTACCTTTTGAACTCTTAAGGCACAATTTGTGAAAAATTCTTTCTAATATAGCCCAAGAGTTACCCTCACAATAAAATCAAAATTCAAACTTTCATCGATCGCTCAATAACAGGTGCTTACTAATTTGTATCTTTGACACACAGTGTACCCTAAAAACGCGCATTTCTTTATTTCATCCCAGCACATGGAGGTTGGCTCCCAATAACAGTACGTTTCCTACCCTTAAACTACGAATTTTCAAAAATCTATCCATCTACATCGTATCTGTGATAAACAATAATATTATACAATTTTTTTAGCTTTTAGTACTTTTTGTACCCTTAAGTTACAAATTCTGAAAAATTACGTCTAATATCGCCTAAGAGTGACTCTAATACAAAATCTCAAATTCTAGCCGATCTACAAAATTTTAAATTCCTAGCTTTTATCACTTGCTCAAAAATAATCCAATAATGCGAAATGTACTAAAATTTGTACAACTTTGTACATTTCGTACCTTCAACCAACGAATGTCCAACCATCCCACGTTATTTCTCCCAAGAATAAATCTTATGCAAAGTCTAGTTATAACCATAAGCGTACGATTCTCAGCGCATAGAGGGAGGCAACAAATTTTAAATGTGTAACTCTCGCTAAATAAATTAATACCATAAAAGCACGAAATTTGCTAAGAGACACATATTTTAGTACATTTCGTACCCTTTAAGTACATGTCCCAAAAATGTCACCTTATTTCATGCAAATCTCAATGCTTATCAATCTTTTTAGTACTTAGTGTACCATTAAAGTTCGATATTCCAAAATTGTTGTTTTGTATCACCTCTCCGCCTTATGGATGACTCTTATCCCAAATTTTTAATAGCTATCTTTTACTTGTCGCTCAATTTCCCAATTGTACCTTTTAGTACTTTTCACACCCAAAATTTCGAAAATATAATTTATTCCAAGAGAGACCCATGCAATAGTCCAAGTTCTAGCTTCTATCAGCTGATCAATAACAAAACCTTGCTATTTCGTACCATTTAGTACCTTCACTCTTAAATGTACGATTTTATTTATTTTACCCCTGCTCATGAAATACAAATACAAAATTTTAAATTTCTAGGTCTTACCGATTGTTCAATGACAGTGTCATAAGATTTTGTACTTTTTAGTACATTTTGTACCTTTTAAGTAAGAAGTTT